GCCGCCCTGTCGATTGCCACCCATAGTTTCTTCCATGAAATCGAGTGCCGTAGAAACTGTTTGTCAGAGGGTGATGGTTGGTTCTTGGACTAACAGAAGAATGGGCAAGCTTTCTATACTTCTGCTCATGTATAAAATTTATATATTTCCTTCTATTCAACCCATTATGAATGGACGTCTAACCTGACCTTAATTATAATGTCATATTTTTACATTATTTTTATTTTTATTTTATTTTTATACAAAACATTTGGACACCAAATTTTGGGTGTCCACTTCTCTTTTAAATTTACACTCGTAAAAAAATATATAGAGAAATTATCGTAAATATATCTTAATTTAAGTTTAATTGGAAAAAAAACCTCAAACTTTCGTTTATCTCATCTACACCTTTTTTATTATTTTTTATTTTATTTTTTATCAAAATGATCTTCCCGGTAGTCGTATTACCACAATAGTTAATACATGTTATACAGTACTTTAAGTAAAGAATTTTATACGATATTTTAAGTACCGTAATACTGACAGTATTTTATAGTACCGTAATTTTATACGATATTTTAAGTACCATAATACTGACGGCATTTTATAGTACCGTAAACTTGCACTGACCTGTGTTTTAAGTACAGTAAACACTAACCCATGTTATACGGCAAAGCCATTTTTATATTTATCTATTTCATCCCTAATTTATTTTAGGTTGATCTATTATTTCTCTATGTTTATATTTATCTATTTCATCTCCAATTTCTTTTTATGTTTATCTATTATTTTTCTCTCTAATTTTTTTCATATTTATCTCTTCTTTTTTTATCTCATTCTTTTTTATCTCTACAATCTTACTCTACGAGCCAATTTGGACATGGCCAAATATCCTAGTTAGGAAGAGAAAAGATTTAGAGAGAGAAATAAGAGATACATATTAAAAATAATGAGAGAGAGAAATAAGAGATAAACATAAAAAAAATAGAGATGAAAAATATAAATATAATAAAGAGAAAGGGTTTTACGGCAAGTTACGATGAGAAAAGATTTAGCGAGAGAAAGAAGAGATAAATATTAAAACGAATGAGAGAGAGAAATAAAAGATAAACATACAAAAAATAGAGATGAAAGAGATAAATATAATAAGGAGAAAGGGTTTTACGGCATTTTAAATGCCGTATAATATGGGTTAGTTTTTACGGTACTTAAAATGTTGTAAAATAGTTTTTACGGTACTTAAAGTACGTGATTGGCTTCACGGTCATAGCCATTTACGGTACTTAAAGTACCGTAATGCTAATTGAAGTTACTATGATTTTAAATAACGTATAAAATGATACCTATTAAAGTATTACAGTATTTTAATTACCGTAATACTCTTTCAACTTATTATGGTATTTAAATTACCATAATGTTTTTTATGGTAAAAAGACTACCGTGAAGGTTATTTTTGTCCAAAAAAAACCGAACATTGTGAGAAAGGGTGTAGGTGAGGTTTTGAAAAATTGAGGGTTTTTTTCCTATTATAGTAAAATATAGGTATATTAGTGATAATTTTCAAAAATATAAAATAAATATTCTATTTTCAATAAAATAAAAGGAAATTATCGCAAATATACCTTAATTTAAGGTTAATTGGAAAAAAAAAACCCTAAATTTTTGTTTATCTCATCTACACCTTTTTTCTTCAATTTTGGCTTTTTTTTTTTTGGAGCAAAATGACCTTCACGGTAGTCATGCTACCGTAGTACGTATCATTTTATATGGTATTTAAAATACCATAGTAACATCAAGTAATATTACGGTCTTTAAGTACCGTAAAACTATGACCATGACCCTAAAGCCAATTACAGTACTTTAAATACTGTAAAAACTAAAACCCATTATACGGCATTTTAAGTACCGTAAAAACTAATCCATCACACTTAAAATGCTAAATCATTTTCTCATCCTATTTATATTTATCTCTTTTATCTCTAATTATCTATTATTTCTCTCTCTAATTCTTTTTAATATTTATCTTTTCTTTCTCTCTCAGATTTTTTTTAATATTTATCTCTTATTTCTCTCTCTAATTATTTTTTATCTCTTATTTCTCTCTACAATTTCATCATTGTTTCCTTCGATAGATCGTGTCCTCTATTTTGCATAGTCGAAGTCAGTGTTTCATCTTATACGACACTTAAAATGTCGTAAATCATTTTCTTATCATGTTTATATTTATCTCTTTCATCTCTTATTATTTTTTCTTTCTCTTTTTATTTTTATTTTTATATTTATCTATTATTTCTCTCTCTAATTCTTATTAATATTTATCTTTTCTTTCTCTCTCTAATTATTTTTTATCTCTTATTTATCTCTCTACAATCTCATCATTGTTTACTTAGATAGATCTTGTCATATGTTTTGCATAACCGAAGTCAATGTTTTATTACTCTCTCTAAGGAAACGATGATGAGATCGGAGAGAGAGAAAGAAGAGATAAAAAAGAATTAGAGAGAGAAAGCAGAGATAGATATTAAAAAGAATTAGAGTGAGAAAGAATAGATAAACATAATAAGAAAAGGGTTTACGGCATTTTAAGTGAGGTATAATATGGGCTAGTGTTTACGGTACTTAAAATGCCGTATAAGGGTTAGTGTAAGTTTAAGTACTGTATAAAATGCCCTCAGTATTACGGTACTAAAAGTACCGTATAAAATTCCCTAAGTATTACGTATAGGATGCACTAACTATTATGGTAATACGACTACCGCGAATGTCATTTTGGTAAAAATAAAACCGAAAATGAGAAAGTTATTTTGGTAAAAATAAAACCGAAAATGAGAAAAAAGGGTGCAGATGAAATAAACAAAAGTTTTGGTTTTTTTTTCCAATTAAGGTATATTTGCAATAATTTTCTAAAATAAAATGACCAAAATAACCCTATAAATTTAAGAGGTATTTGGTCATTGTATTATATAAAAATGTTTGGTTTTAGGTCCACCCCAATGAGATAATGGTACAAACCAAATTTCATATTCATATAATTAGAAAAAAAAATTAAAAAAAAAAAATAACTCTGAGATGTCAGATCTAGATAAAATGGTTAATGACTCACTTGATCTAAATTGGACGGCTAGATGGGGAGGGAGTATATATCTTCTATAGAGTAGGGGTAGTACATAAACCTTTCCCAAGATACCCTCTTCACCAATACAGATTCTTTCAAAGAAATTCCTCGGGAAAATGCTTGCATCCCATCTTATGAGACTCGAATTTTCATGTTTCTGCTGCAACTTTTTTTACTATTTTTAAGTTCACATAAGGTTTTGGAGGGATTGACAAGTCTAGGGCGAAGGAAAAAGACCTCTGTATCGTTTTATTGATCTAGAGAAAGATTATGATAAAACACCTCGAGATTTGATTTGGTGGGTATTGGAAAAGAAAAAAGTATCACATTGATTTGGTGAGAGGTATGTACAAAGGAGTGCTAACTAGTATACAGACAACTAATTGAAAGATGAGTGGATTTTCATTGATAATAGGTCTACATTAGAGGTCAGCATTGAGCTCATGCCTCTCTATCTTAGTTATAGATGACTTAACTAGGTACCTACAATATGAGGTACCACGGTGTATGTTGTTCACCAATGACAGAGTTTTAATTAATGAGATCCAAAATGACGTCAACACAAAGTTAGAATTTTGGACAGATGCTCTAAGATCTAAAGGTTTTAAATTTAATCTGACTAAGACAAAGTTTATGAAATGTAAATTTAATAATAATAGGAGTAAAGATGAAGAATTAGTTAAGATTGACAGCCAAAAAATACAAAAAATAACACACTTTTGATATCTTAAGTCGATAATATAAGAATAGAGAGGGATTGAAGAAGATATCATATATAGCTTGAGAAGTATGTAATGCGACGCTTAAGCAGATGAAGCAAAAAGAGTTGGGTGGGCAAAGGGAAGATGTGCAATCATAGTTTTATGTGATTGCATTTGATGTATGGGGCAAAATGTTGGTCGGTCAAAAAACAACACACACATAAAATGAGCGTGGCTGAGATGAGATGTTGAGATGGATGAGTGGTAAAACAAGAAAGGATATAATCCAAAATGAATAAATTTGAGAGAATTTAGGTAAAACACCAATAAACAATAAGATAGGGAAAAATAAATTTAAGTTGGTTGCACATACCCAATATAACACTAGTTAGGAAGTACGCATTAGTTTAAATGGAAGGTTAAAAAAAAGACAAAAGGTAAATCTAAAAAAACATAATTGAAAGTTGTAAAAATAAATATGATGACTTATGGCCTCACTGAAAGTATGACCCTTAATAAAGTATAATGACGATCTAGAATTTATATAATCGATCCCAATTAATTAGAAAAAAATGTGATGATGATAAGAGGGTTTCCTTGGGGGGGCAACGCTCTCTCTCATTGCCCTCAATAATGAGGACAATATTCGCAAGGATTTGAGATTAGCCACCTTACACTTAGAGGTCACTGTTCTTTTTGCCTTGCTTTATTTTATTATTTTCAAATTTTAAGGGCACAATTGGCGCCGCAACATGAGAACTAAAAAAAGACAAAGACCATTTAAATAAAAAAAAAGTTTACATAGCAACTTTAAAATGTAGAATTACTGATCCACCTCAAAAATTAAATGTAGAATTACTGCTCCACCTCAAAAATATGCTGTAGAAAGTTGTTTTAACATTGAAAAACCTTCTAATCGATGATCATGATATTATGACATGAATATAAAAAAAAAAAAAGATTTTGAATCCCAAAAATAGTACATCTTGCAAACACATTATCTAGATCGTCCATTTTCAAGATTTTCATATGTTTATAGATCTACTTGATTTTAACTATTTTTGAAGTTTAAAATTTTTTACTTAGATATAAAAATGAATATTCATATAATGCTAAGAGTTTTTTATATCAAAATTACATGTTATGATAAAATTTGGAGGCGCAACCTCACCCTTTAAATAATCCACAACAAACAAAGAAGGTGGTCAAATTAACCTTTTTATCAACGATGGTTACTTTAAAATGCTTATTTCACTCAAGTACCTCCTCAACTATTTGCTTAAAAAGACCCCCAACGATCTCTCTCCTTATAGGGAGAGGAAAAACGGCTTTCAGTGCAAGAAGGGTCTCGGAATCTTCTTTGTAAGATCCAGCTCTCATCTGTTGAAACCACAACGCACGCATGGAAACAACAGAGAGAGAGAGAGAGATATTCAATCCACATTAATATCACAACCTTAGAGCAGCAATGGCTTCAGGCTTGAAATCAGTCCTGAGGCCCAGCACCCTCCTCACCTCTGCCGGTGTGAGCCTCCATGTCATAGGGCCCGCATTCTCCCCCCAGAAGTCCAAAATCTCTGACACCTTCTCTAAGTTCAACACTGTCGCCATCTGTGTAAGTCTCGCAAACTTATCCCTCACCGTCCTCTGTGTCATAGATGAGAATCGACTAACCAATGCCCTTGTGTCCCTGTCCAATTGCAACCCACCCAATTGAGTGAACCGCTTTTGCATCATTATGACCTCAAGCCTCTTAACCACAAAATCGATAACCAAGTGGAGGAAAGAGTCGTAATTATTTGAGGTCATGGATGGTTGGAGCCAAGAAACACTGGTTTCGACAGAGTGGAGGAGATTTTGGACCCAGGGGTCGTTGAGCTCATTCTCGGCGTACTCAGCCTCGGAGAGCTCATATGAGATGGAGGCAACAGCATCAAGGGTGGGGCGGAGGCGCGGGGTGACAGAGGCAGCCAGTTGCTCAAGCCCAGAACTTAGGGCCTGCCTGAATCCCTCGCTCACCTCACCCAGGTCCGAGAGGCAGGATTTCACCTTTTCCCTGTCAGCTGGGGCTGGGAATACCTGATCGAGTACAATGATAACAAAAATTATTCAAGTTCGTGTCATTAAGAAAAGGAAATGAAAATCCCTGCTGAGCTTTGCATTATATTTGCAACACATCCACACACACATATATACATGCATACATACATATAAGAATGCCAACATACATAATGCAATGAGATATGGAGCAATATTATTTTATATTTGCATCGCATGCATGCATATGTACATATATACGTTACATGCATATGCATTTTCATAGAGTACACAAGGAGTGTGTCGTGAAATATGTAGCAGGGGCTTATGGCTAACAATGGGATCAAATCCAATAAATGATACTATGCTCTCAAAAAAATTCCACTCCATACTGAATTTAGGAAATAACCCATAAATTAGCTAATTATAAAAGGGGGCTACAACTTACATCCATTGTTACAAAGAAATGCCATGTTTAGAATGTCTTATTTGACCAAAAAACATCAATTTTGGGGGCACTAATTGATGTTTTCGGTTTTTGTTTTTTATTAAGAATGGTGTGCGGGAAATGTGGCTTCCATACAAAAAAGGAAAAATTGGAAGCAAAATATGAAAGTAGATAATCAAAATGGAAAAATAAAAGCAAATGATATATGACAGGTATTCCATGCTAAGTATAGAAATTGCCAAAACAACCTCCACACATCAAATCAATACTTCGAGGCATACAGGAAAAAAATTGCAAAATCTAAATGATCCCATTGTAAAGGGCATAGCATTTGTAGTGGTATGATTTCAAATATCGTTTAGATTATTTTAAAACCATTGAGTTGTTTAGGCGATTTCTAGAAACCGAGAGATTTGACAACAAAAGAGCTGACCATAAAAAGTAGAGAATAAGCCAAGATCATTAGATCTCAGACAGTGCTTTATCAGTTTTGAAAAGAATGATGAGACAAAGAACAAACTAAGCAAATGAGAAACGTCTCTCAGATATACAAAATTCCAACTTTATCTATCAATACGTTTCTTAGAGATGATCCAGAACTCTAGATAACCTCGTATTAAAGCAAGAATGGAATCTTAGGTCAGAAATTCATGTTCTGGAAGCTGTAGACCCTTACATATATTGCCAAAGAGGATGTGATATTTATCAAACTTGGCCATTATCAGTTACCAGAGCTTAGGAGGCAGGATCACCAACTAAAGGAATTGGAGTGTCAAAGATTCTTGGATCTATAATTTATCAGCAAAAAGCTGTACGCAATTTAAAATGCTAGCTCAAACACTGAGGGATGGTAACAAGATGATTGTTAAGGAAATACTTAGTGAATGGTAACAAGTTGTGAGAAGGGACATAAGAGAAAAGGAAGTTTTTGGAACCTGGAGTGAGATTTGCAAGGTAGTGGATAACTTTCAAGGTGGCATTCGCACGACTGCAGATGATGGTTGCAGATGTCACTTTTGGGTTGATGGGCCGTGCAGAGAGGTGATAAGGAGACAATTTCCTAGCATGTTGATAGACATCTAGAGTATGGATCTTTAATTGTTAATATAAATGTTGAAGGGAGTTAGATGGCATTGGTCAAGAGGGAGGGGGACTTATCCGGAATTGTTGGCGTTTGTATTCTCAGTTCAGATCATTTGGTATGTTGTTGTGGATGTTGCTTTTGGTGGATAAGTCATGCAATGAGGTGCTGCAGAGGCTATTTCCTAGAGGGTGGATAATGGATGGGTAACAGAACCTATGCCCTTTTATTACGCAAAAAAGAGGTCAAACATGGGTCCACATTGGGCATTGGAGGACCGAGCGCCCTCAACACTTGGGTGCTGCTTTTTTGTGGTTCTGTTATAGAAATATCTTATCATAGACTGCCTTCAACATGGGGGTGGTTTTTAGTCGGTTAGGGTATTCTATGCAAGAGAAAGGCAGATATAATCAACTATTTTGTGCCTCAATTTAGTTATAGATATATAGTACCACTGTATATGAAGACAAACTGCATCTATTTGACTTTTAAAACTTCAGTGGTTTCCTACATGTTTGGAAGGGAGCTGTAGTACAAGATAGAGTAGAGGGAACTTATACATGAGAGGTCTTTCATACATGAGAGGTCTTTCTTCCTGGTTATCACAGAGAATTTGGAAAGTGAGAAATAAGATAACTTTTCACTAAAGGTGAATTGACTAAGAGATGCAGTTGTGAGCATAGCATGAGCGATACTATTCAGAATTTCAGGATATGGTCTCTTGGCTTGGTTTTTAAAGTGTAGAGACTGCAATACAAAATCCATGTTCTGCATCCTGGCAAGTTAGCCAAAAGAACAGCTGACACTATGGGCATTTCAAAGTTACACGATGGGAACGATGAAAAACAAACAATTTTCACAAATCATGTCATACCCTGGATGACAGTTACCTGTAACTTTCATCTAAAGAGGAGCAGAAGTTGAATGGATCTCTAGATTCTCTACACCTAAGGGGGTCATCAACATAGATGTTAATGGTTGCCATAAAGGAACATTTTTTGCCTGGTAGGCTTCCTAGATTTTATAACAGGAGAAGAGTCATTAAAAATCACAAACATGACCTGGGTTATATGAAATGCGTATTAAACCATATGGTATTGCACAAGGCATGATATAAAATCACTTAGTTAACCCACTGTATTATCTCCCTGGGGAATGCCAATTCAGACACCACAGCTAAATATCTTTTGTTGTTTACTTCTTTTTTTTTGGAATAAATATTTGACTTTTTCTGTTTATTGTTGACCAAGGATGAAATATCTATTGCTATATTTTGGGTATTAGATAATCTGACTCATGATCTGGGTGGCTGTTCTTCAAGCTTGTTTGTTTCATAAAAATATCACGATAAGTATCTAGAACAATCTGTGTTACGAGCAACAACTCTCTTCTCTGCAAAGTGAAAGAATTCCCACAACTTATCCATCTCATATCCTCTTATATAGGCCGCAATAATGGGACAAATCATACAAGTTGCTGGTTCACACCCATAAAGCGTAGTCGTGAGAACAATATCACAGATTGAAGCTATTTAAACTTGCAAAAACAGACAATCAGCACGTCATAAGTATTCCTTGTAGCCATTGGGTAACTGATCTTATCCCCATCACCTTGTAAGAATCGAGAAGTCATTATACTAATCTCGGCAAATTTGAATGTACGGATAGTGGTTATCAATCCACACGTGCCTCAGGTTTAGCAATATCGGAAGTGTCGAAATCCTTTGACACCTGCGTCTTTTTAGTCGCAAAAGCCACAAAATCAACGTGGACAATCTGACATCTGATGGCCCCTGGCACAACCATAACAATTGACTCTATTGAGAGAAGAGAACCCAAAACCCTAGCATTGAGGATGGAGATGAATACTTCCCAGTCTCTATGTCCTGCTCCTTCCCAACAATTTAGCCATGTATTTAACACTAAGAGCTGGTAATGATTGAGCTACACATTTGGCCATCGTAATGTATGTAGAGTTGATGTTGTTATTAACAAATCAGGTCATTGGCTGCTGAATTTCAGCCCTAGTTGAGCTTTGATTTGACCAACACAAGCTTAAATTTTTATATACCCTCTTCTGTAATCTCATAACTAGTGGAGGCATCAAAAAGAACTAAAAAGCTGAGTTTCCATGCTTTCAGGACTTGGGAATCACTACTCGCTGAAAACAACTGCAAGCACAATAAGGAATGCATTTCCTGATTCCATTATCTCTCATCCAGATACTAGGAATGTGTAAAACGCCTTTATCTAAAAATCGAGTAATGATCACTAAAAAGAACTACAAAAATATGAATCAATGCATTTTCATCATTCTGAGGACTCCCATCCAATACTTCAAGGAAACCAATACAACGAGGAGATAAAAAGAATGAATTTGCACATGAAGATTTGCAATTGGCACTTTTCCAAAAAAAAAAGAGGAAAGAAATACAATTGGCATTCCTTTATGAAAGCATCAATCCCAATAAATAATTAAACTAAAGGCTAAAACAATCCAGAGATATCTTGGCCACGACATCCAAGAACCCAATAAACCAAAACGAGAGCAAGAGAAAACAGTCAACTTACTCACCTCTGCACAATGCTCCTCAATCTCTTGCTTAAGCTTCAAAGCATACTCGCTACTCACATCCATATTGTTCAATGCTGTTGTGATCTCTGTCCCCGTCTTCTGCACCCCGACTCCACCCATGAAAAGCTTTGCCCCCAAATTGGGCTCCCTCATCTTCCTCTGCAACGCCTCCTGATACTCATTACTCAGCAAATTCACCGCCCCACTCAACACTGCCAGCACAGAGTTCACTTTCGATGTTGATATTGCCCTCCTGCAACAGCTCTGCAAAACATAAAACACATCGTCCACCATCGATGTTGTGAGGCTATCTGGCACATGCTCATCAATCCTTATAGCCTTCCTCACGTTTTCCACCATGAAAAACTCCTCAAGAATCACATAATATCCACTGAGTTCCTGAGCCATTATGCTGAAGCTCCCGCTACGAAAAGCCTTAGTAGCTCGCGGTGCCAATTGGGGATCTAAAGCAGCCATCCCCCCAATTTTCGAAACCATGAATTCAGTGTAATCTTCTCCCAATTGGGTTAGTGCAAGTATCTCTTCGAGGTACATTTCAATCTCTCGTGGATCCGGCCCCTCTAATACCCCGACTGACAGCAAATTCTTGCTATATGAGTTTATGTCTGCTGTGATTTTCCCTAATTTCCTAAATTCCATGTATTTTTTCATGATCGTGGTACCCCACAAATCACATTCTTCTTGTAACTCGCAGATGGCATACACAACACCATCCTCCATACACAACTCACGCAAAACAGCATCGTTTTCCTCCACAGCCAACACAATGTCCTTGAAGAGGCTTGTCAAACAGTTCACGAAATTTATCTCAGATGGAGGCCTCGACTGATCAATGAATTCCTTTACAGTATCAAATTCCATCCTTGTTCTCATCGATATCACCTTTCTCAAATAAGAAACATATATTTGAAGGCCCTCCGCCCTAAGACCAAGCATTGGAAAAATCCTAACAAATCTCAGTATCTCACCATGGGTTTGTTGGTCTACTGCAGCTGATAACTTCTTCCTAACAATTGACTCAAGCTGCCTCTTCGACTCAAGAATCTGCTCCCTCTGCTCTGAAACCACGGATCCACTAAACTGAGCATCAATCTCCAAAAAAGTGGAGATAAATTTAGCAGCTGCCTCATAATCATCTGAGTCCAAAGCCTTTCTCGCCCCCTCAATGCAATTCCCTCTCTCTAAAATCGCATCAATTCTAGATAGCGTGGCCTGAACCCGTGACTGAGCCAAATCAAGCTCTCGAACTTTTCCACTCACCTGATCAGCAAGCTCGCAGGTCGAGCCCACCTGCTGTAACATGTGATCAGAATCCGCCTCAACAATCTCAAGAACCTCTGCATGTTTTTGGAGGGCGAGGAGCTGGCGATCGAGGTCAGTGCGATGGGAGAGGAGGTTTTCGAGGTCTACGTCGAGGCGGCGCTGGTATGCGATGCATTCGTGGAGGAGGCGTGTCATGGCACCCACATCTGTGAGGGCGCGGATGAACTCTAAGGTTTTGGGGGCCCCAAAGTCCATGGAGGAAGAAGGGGTGTCGTTGGGCTCTGAGATGGTTGTGGCTTTTGGCGTGGCCACCATGGTAATAGGCGAGTGTGGGCTCATTGCCTCTTAAAAATGAATTTAAAATGTTAAATTATAGGGTTAGGGTTTGTGAAAAGGCATCTCACAGTAGCTACCAATGAAAGGTGAGGCAGATCCGATGAACTAAGCAGAAACCCTCCACCAAAGCATAGCTTCAGTTTACTCCATGAAACCTGTGGTTTTTCTCCATTTCCTTATAAAAAGAGAGCTCCCAGATCTGATAGCTTCCTCGATCCGGGTAGAAGTTAAGCCTCGTGCTTCAGAGGGAGAAAGCCCCCCAGATCTGATGAGGACGAACCGTAGTGCTCCTCTTCATGGTAGGCACCCGCCATTAAAAGGACCTTGTGTCCAAGCAGATCCGTCATTAACGTAGGTCTGCAAACGAGAGAGAGGGGCCTCTGCTCTAGTGAGAGAAAGTGAAGAGGCCTGCTCAATTCAGTAAGAGAATCGGAAGTTGGCGCTTGAACCAACAGATCTAGAGATAGAGAGCGAGCATAGATTTCTTCTCTCTTTCTAAACTATTTAAAGAGTACTCATATATACCATCATTAAAGGATGAAAAATTGTTGAAAATAAGTAAAGCCTCACCTCATAATAGTTCACCAAAAATTACAATTCAAGAATTGAAAAACATTTACACCAATTTTCTAGGCTTGAACATATTAGTTTTGAAAAAAAAAAAGACAAATATTTTAAACGGTAAAACTATGTATATTATAACAAATTATTTAGACCATCTATTTCACCTTAAAATTAAGTATTTGTAGTCCGCAAGATCTGTACTATTTTTTCGAGTTTCAAATTTAATTATCGGTGTTTGAAATCTAGTTAGATCCATCATGGAAATTGAGCATGGAGATTACCTCAAATGAGGAGAATTTGAGGTGATACTTTACTTTGTTTTTATAAAGCCTAGGCCCTATAAAATTTTAATCCTTAAAAGATATCTTGAAATTAAGGCATTCAATAATAATTTGTGTTTTTTGAAGCAAAAGAATACCAAATATTTTCTTGTGAATTTATTATGGTGCCCTAGAAGTTAAAATATTTTTGAATTATCTCAAGTGTAATTTCAAACTTTAAACTCATTTTGAAGTTGCACTTGAAAATCGATAAAAAGATCCTCATATATTTTAAAAAGGTGTGGTTTCGGGTGTGAAAAACTTTATGATGGCAGTTAGGGTATGAAAAACCTTTTCATGGCTTGAAATCTATGTTCAATCCTCATTATGAAATTTAAAATTTTAAAAATAACGTAGATCAAATATGTCTATAAACACTTGAAAATATTGTAAATAGACGTACCAAATTAATTTGTTACAAGATATATTATTTTTTTATTTTTTTTTATTTTTATATCCATACGAAGCCGATATGATCAATAGGAGCCTTTTACAAAATTCTTGATGTGCGCTTCACTTCTACAACATAATAAAGTTTGAAAGTTTATATAAATTCTTTCCTTTAAAATTTTGACAAAGATGGGCACCATTTGTAATTTGGGAAACCGATGCTTCGACTGACAGGTTCCCCTATTTCAGATATTTATTTATTGGAAACCTCCCAATACAGTGACACTCACTCTTTTTCTCTCTTCTAAAGAGCAGTCCTCTCCTCCCCTCCGCCTCCGCCTCCGCCTCAACCCCTCCAATATGGGGGAGGACCAGCACCAACAAGGTGGGGAATTTTATAGAGAAGGCACAGCAGCGAAGGCAAAGGGGACTTTTAGAGTTTGATCTTCTCTATTTTGAACCAAATTAATTTTTTTTTAAAATGTATTTGCACTTTAGAGAAGGCACAGCAACGAAGGCTGTGAGATTGTTTTCCAAATCTTTATCTTTGATTTCATTTTTCTCATTAAAAAAAATTAAAATAAGAATGTAATAAATTAAGGTCCTACTCAAATGTAACTTTTTCAAAGTCCAATTTAGGGAAAGATGTGAGATAAATCATAACTCTCAAAGTCACTTTTAAATGTATTTGCACTTTAGATTTTGATTTTATTGCTCAAAAAACAGTGTAGATGGACTGCGAAGAATTAAAATTGAACTATTAAAAAAAGTTTAAAATCATATATTTTAAAATCTGCAGTCCATTTTTTCTACTTTCATGACTATATTGGCAAAAATAGATCATCAAAGGAGACAACATTTGAATAGGTGCGTCAAAGCCCTATCTCGCCGACTAACGATAAATGGCAAATTTTGAAGCAAATGAAATGAACGTAGATTTTTTCCAAATTATACATGGACCATATCCTGGGTTTTTACGAACCACATTTGCATTATGGTATTGTCGATCGTTACTTTTTGTAAAAGCCGCAACTATTCCCACTCAATAAATGTCAAATTAAAAGACTTGGGATGAATCTCACGAAATATGAGATTTTTTTATTTTTATTTTTATTTTTAAAACTTCATGCTAATCAATAACAATCTTACAATCACCCATCTAAAAGACAAAAACGATTATAACCTCCTTGCACAAAAAGTAAATTATTTAATAATTTTGAGATAATTGGCTACTGGTCCTCAAATATAAATCCGTAAATTCTCATCTCCAGCAAACCAATCTTCAAGCATTCTGAAAGGCACAAAGAGACCTGAACATCATTGAACCCATCCACCAAAATGACCACCACTAATCAATTTTTAATCTTTAAGTAAAGGTAGGTAAAGACATGATCATCATTGAACCTGTCCACCAAAACGGACTAATCCATTGTCACTGAGATGAAATTGGAGATCATTTTTTGGCAAAAAAGTTATGATGATTTTTGGCTAAAAGCTTTGCTCAAAATTTGACCCAACTAGTTCAACTGGTGGTTGGGCCACTAGCCAACGTCGCTCCAATCTTGATATCCCTGAAATCTTTGGTTGATTTTTCAGTGGAAGTTAACGATGGGCTTAAGAGTCACCAACAAATTGTTCACCCAAATTTTACATAGCGATTCGTGGTTTACAGCATGGTCTACAAACCAAAGAACTGGTCAGACTCACCATACAAAGCTTGCAGCCTTGTTTGCAGCTTTATCTTCACCTTTACAAACCAACCACTTCCCAAAACACCGGGAAACCATGGTTTGGGGTGGTATTGCCCAGGCCCGACATATTGCCAGTGCTAAATCCAAACAGACCCTTAACCATTAAAACCAGCAGGCCAAGTCTCAAGCCCCTTTTCAATTGTTCGTATGCCCATACACATGCAAGTGACAACTACAGTTGAGAGCACAAGTTACAACACAAAACAATACACCACAGGAACAAACTACATCAACACGCAGTTTCCCAATCATTAGCAGCACTACAACTCTCTCTCTCTCTCTCTCTCTCTCAAACAATACACAAGCATTGTTCCTCAATTATCATCGTCACACCACAACGATCTCTCTCAAACAACACACATCAGGAACAAACTACTTCAAAGCATTGTTTCTCGATCATCATCATCACCACACCTCAACCATCTCTCTCTCTCTCTCTCACTCACATTGTTCCTCAATCATCATCACCACACCTCAACCATCTCTCTCTCTCTCTCTCTCTCACATTGTTCCTCAATCATCATCACCACACCTCAACCATCTCTCTCTCTCACATTGTTCTCAATCATCATCACCGCACCACAATCATCTCTCTCTCTCCACAAAAAAAAAAGGTGCAGTAAGAGATTGAGAGGTCAAGTCCTTTGCCTAACCCTTCGGCCATTATCATCCGTTCCATCTGATAGTTGCGCCCAAACACTTCGACTTCTGCCTGCACTGCTGCAATCTTCCTCGCATCCCGCAACTGTCTTTAAAAGCTCAGACTGAAGAGATGGGCATTTCTCTCTCAAATGTCCAAACCCTTCCGTTCGCATTACAGCTGTACCATAGATGGGTAAATTGGGCTTGTTATGACATGTTACGATACAGATATCTCATGCAAGAAATGAAATGAGGAGAGAGAGAGACAACTAGTGCAAAGTTTCCAATATGGCTCGAAGAAACTGAACATAACATACAATGAACAATAAGGAAAGAAGTAACTGTGCTGGTTCATGAAAAATCAAATAGAGATTTCATGAAATTAAGCGTAATATTGGAGGTAGTAACAGAAAAAGCTGCTCTAATTTAGTTGCAGAGAAAACTGTCCAGTCGGACAGATACAGTTAGGATCCCACATCAATTACATATCAAGCATGGCAGAACTGCATTACTGTAAAGACAATTCAGGCTATGTTTAGTAACCACATTATAACATTATAAATACATGAGAGAGAGAGAGAGTCAGAAACCCAAGATCTGTATCATCTTTTCAAAGAACGAAAAAACAGGGTAAAGGTAAAGTGGAATGACTTTCTTTGCACACTACAATCAACATTTAAGGGATAAATTTATTCTTATATTATGTCACAATGGGTGAAGGAAGAAGATTAAATTTATATCCAGTAGGAAATAACCAAGTAAAAATACCTAGGGTCACCTTCAAGAAGGCAATGAAACCCAGACAGGTATATATAACGAAGGGAGTTAGGCAAAATCAACGCATGGGGGGAATTCAAGGTTGAGAGCTAACCTGGTTGGATGCTGGTTTGAAGCTCAGCAGGCAGTTGGGCTCTCTTTAAATTAAAAAACAAGTATGAGAACACAGCTTAGAGCAAAAAACAAAATGCAGATCTTAAAGAAAATGCAGAATGAGGAGTCTGAGGCAGAATATGTTGTACTGAACTACTGATGATTGAGATGACATCAATGGAATCTGAGATAAAAGTCTTCTATGAGGCTAGATCTTCTAGGTTTTAAAATCAGGAGTTCAGAATTGAGTCATAAACTCGGACGTCATAAAGTTAAATATTTTCGTACTCCAAAAATACTTCTGAAGTTTTTAGTTTATAGTGTTTAGTTAAATGATTCTATTCTTTTTATTATTTACTCAACGGATATTGAATGCAATGGAAAAGACCAAAGTTCATATTCTATCTTTGTTTTGATGGTCATCCTAAGTTTTATTGGGTAAGTAATCATTAATAATTTTTGTTTCAAGAAAGGAGACAGCTATCCAGTTATAGGTTACAAGGAGGCATGGCATCCAATTCCACAATGCAGAGACTGTAGCCATGCTTGAAGGCCTTAAGAGATTTGCCGGATATTGTGTAAACCAACTCATTGTAGTAGGGGATCCCAAAATATCAATTCTTGGGCATCTAGAGCTGCACATTCTCCTTGGAAACTCCCAAACATCTTTAACATCTTTGATCTATGCAGGAATCTCTGTGATTATTTCCAGCAGACATGGTGTGAGGCCAATACAGTTGCTGATTCATTTGCGAGAGAGGGTGCTGCCAAGGGGGTCACAGATATTAACTAGACCTTCATGAGTACTGAGTACACATCAGCAAAAATAGCTTCTTTTCACTATCTGCAGCCAATATTTGGCCATTGATCCTATCCCCCTTAGTTTTTGTTGTAGGAGGACCTACTAATCCACCATTATTGGTTCTATATTTCTTTCCATGTCAAGCATCCTGATTGTGGGGTGCCTTCACCATAGCCCATTCTCGTGGCGATATTCGTAAAACAGATAGATTCAAAACAAATGTGTGTGTCTCACTTTCATTCAAAAGAAAAAGAAGGCAAAGCATAAAATTACCCTAAACAATCCTTATTAGTTCACAAGGTGGGCAACCTATTAGCCATCCCATTGGCTCTCAAGATATGTACAAAGGTCAACTATACAAGGTTAGTCAGAAGGTGCTACTGTCTACATTACAACAATTTCCATTGTATCAGTGGCACAGCAATTTGATGACGTTTAACTAATCCTCTTCAATTATGACTGAAGCAAAATCCATCATCAAGCTGGAAGCTTTGGTTTGAGAAGAAATGTGAATCAAATGAAAAGCCGATGAATTGTCTAGGCTCATAGAAACTAACAAGAAGAACCATGTCATCATGGGCCCAGGCTAGATAAGAATCGTGTCGGGTTTGAAGGCATCCAATACGTACCCAGTAAAATCCATGAACCTCAATCTATAAATTGATGCCTCATCCCCTGACCTACCAAGTTGAAATGGGAGAGCGGCTGAATTTAGTCACCCCCCCTTCTTTGTTTTCGTACATCTTCGTTTAGGTAAGTACTTCATCTATCTAGCTGTCTTTTACCAACAAAATTCTCACTATTCATCTGCCATCAACAGAGGAATGCACATATTTTGTGCTACCAAGCAGAATAAACTGGTGCATCACACCGTCCGGCTTGACACGAAAAAAGTGAATCTCCAGCCAGCCAATCAGATACATTTAAAGTATGATCCTTCCAAATTTGTTGCATAGATGTCTATTGCTTCCTCTATGCCTACAAATTTGACTGTGTATGTTGGGAGTTCATAGACTACTTGATGGGTAAGATGGGTTTTGGTGGTCAATGGCATAGCCGCATAGGTGAATTAAATAAAAACTGTGCCTCTGTAGTCTCCTTCTCGATTTCCATAAATGGATCTCCTAAGGGCTTTTCTAGATGCAGCCAAGGTATAAGCTAGAGGAAACCTCTATCCACTTTTTCATTATTCTCTCAAGGGGGACCAACTAGAGCCTCATTGAAGTGTGTGGGAAAGACCTAGGAGGTGACTTCATAATTCATGTTCAGTTTGTAGACAACATTTTGACATTCGTAAATGTTGAGACCAACCAAGCTAACAAATAAAGAAGGCCCTTAGATTATGTAGCTAACAATGTGTTTCTTGATGTAACACTCAACAAGAATGTAAGTGCGGTTTTTTAAAAAGTAGTTCAGACAGAGCTACACAAAAACTCCATCAATGTTATACAAAAAACCTTCTCATTTTATAGGAAAAAGCATATACTACTGAAAATTCTAACATTTTCCAGGATCCGGATCAACAAAGGGAAAACTTTACATCATCATCATTATCATCCAAGTGTTATCCTAACTATTTGGGATCGGCTAATGGGAAAACATTATATATTTTACCAAAGACCGTTAACACCAAAAGAATAGTTCAGATAGTAAGGAGAAGAATTAACCAAAAAAAGAAGGAATTAAAACTAAATGAAAAAAAAAATCAACTCATTGGAATAAAAAAGTATTGAGATTTTTAACAAAACTTGAGGAGAAAATTTATTTATATATTGTAGCCTATCTGCATTAAGGGTGACGATACCCAAATAAAAATCTAAAATACAAAAATCAAATTCGGTTCATTGATAACAAGAACTGTGGAAAAATTATAAAAAAACCCAAAGCATACTTAACCCAACTTCAACCGACATTATAATTAAAGAGGTGCAGGGTTATGTATTTCAGCAACATCCATCAATCAATTATCCACCACACAAATCAAAATACTTCAATTAAGAAAGAAATAAAAATTATACCCATAAAAATAAAAAAATAAAAAAAAAATACAAATGATCTACTGTACATTTCTCTATTTGTGTGTGGTTCCTCTTTTTTTTCCTTTTTGGTGGGGGATTAGGGTACACGATCAATTGAAAAACCAAAGCATATTTCATCTAACATCCATCACAATTTTTTCTTCAAGGATAACTGCATTACACTAAACTACATGAGAAAAAATATCCATCATAATTATCAATTAAAAACCTAATTAAATGCAAAAAATATATTTGTAAAATGAAATCAAAATATCATGATCATCACTATCTGAGCCTTATCCCAACTATTTAAAGTCCGCTACATGGATCTTGTTCCGCCATTATGTTCATAGGTTTGTGATTCATGAAATACATGTGGCAAAAGCTTTATGCTGGCTGCCAACTCAATACAACCCTCCTTTCTCCGGGTGTGGAACTGGCAAGACGGCTTGGGACTGGTCATGGCGGATTTAAAAGAAATCAAAAATAAAAAACAAAAATCTCATATAATGCAGAGTCAAATTATGGAATATTTTACAAAATAACCCAAAGCATACCTCTTAGTCATCAATCTACAAACCCATGAATCTAGAATGTTTTTCGTCAGAGAGGGAAAACGAGGGAATAAACACCCTAAATCTTGCAAAGTAGGGCATAATTCCTGCATTGCATTTTCCAGTAACCCCTCTCCCTTCCCAAGATACCCGAACACCACAATTTAGCCCTATCAAAATAAGTAAAGCCTTCTCTAACAACTCATCAAAAATTGCAATTCAAGTTTTGAAAAACCTTTAAATCGATCATCTCAGCTTGAACAGTATGGTTGCACATAGTGTGCCTCCTCTCATAATTCATCAAAAATTGCAATTCAAGTTTTGAAAAACCTTTAAATCGATCATCTCAGATTGAACATTATGGTTGTGCAAAAAAATTAGGATTTAAAATTCTAAAAATAATGCATATTGCAACAAATCATTTAGACCATCCATTTAGCCCTAAAAATAAGTGTTCACAAATACGCAAGATCTGTACTAGTTTTTGAGTTTCAAATTTTGTTGTCGGTGTTGGAAATCAATTTTAGAGCCATCAAGAAGATTTCCAATGCTGAAAGTTCTTTCTGGATGAGGATTTAAGGTGAGGCTTTATTTTGTTCTCATAAAACCTAGGCCCTATAGAAACTTCATCCATTTTTTATTACAAGATCTACTGTAAAAAATGGACAAAAGCTTCAGCTCTTCACCAAGCACACCCAACAATTTGTCTGGGGAAAAAAAAAAAAAAATTGCTGATGTCAAACCATAGGAGACCCTTTAAATATAAAATGACATTTGAATCACAAACATTGTAATTTAAGAAAAATTTACAAAGCAGCTTCCCCACTTTATAGAAGGCCTGGTTCAACTTCACATAGGCAACTATCATTTCCTTGCTTCCCTCTTGCAATGAGGGGGCAGTGACCAAACTTACCGCTCCATGATCGAGCGCACCCAACAGATGACTCCTTAGCTCATGTTACACATCTTCTAGGAATGTGGGAGATCACCCAAATGACCCTCAACATCCAATTATCATAGCAATCCCTGATCCCCATAACCATAGACACCCTCAACCTAAGCAAGATCCATAGAAACATCAATAACACGGCTCTCCTTCAGTAAACTTCCATTTCCCAGCAAATCTCAATGGGGAAGGAGAATTCTCAGAAGCCTTCATATTTCCTAGATGTTCACCTTGACCACCACTCTAATGGAGGATTGCTGTTCTTTCCATAAAACTGACCTCAACTTAATGCCACCAAATCGTTGCCAATATCTCACTTCAAAGTAGTTACGATCGACACATGGATCTCCTCAGTGCCCTATCACAGCACCATATCAGCACTTTTTCCCTTCACATCTATCTTGGCAGTGACCCTCTCCAATGTCGGTGGGTAATTGCCCTTTCAATGATCTTGCCATCACATGCCCACAGAGATCTCTAACAATAACCATAGCAGTGCCTGAACAACATAAAAAATATTTGCTAATACCTACCTCCTGAAAATAGTTAAGATTGACCCACGGATCTCCTCCAGTGTCCTATGATACCACCATATCAGAGCCTTTTTTTTCCTATCTCATTTCTCTTCACAATCACCCACTCCAATGTGCTACACCCCCACCTTATGTCTGGGTCAATCATATTTCCTTGCAGCCAACCCATGATCTTGAACCATATTGTGCGTCTAGAATAAAATGGAGATGTTACCAACACTGCTACCTTGATGCATTGAAGATCTACATTGGGACTACCAAGTATGCATCCCCTTTACCAGGGGGACAAAAAAAATCCGTCATTCAGATAGTATCTTAAATTTAAAGTCTCAGGAAAGCAGGAAATAAATGACCAAGGATGCCACTGATTAGCATGAATCCACCAAATTCAGTTAGTATCCAAAGTGCTCTACAATGTTACCCAATCAAATATACATACAAAGGATGTTTATTTTTGGAAAAAATAAAGGAACCAATCCAAAGCACATAACATACAAAGGAAGTTTGCGTCTGGAAACCATAAAGGAACCAATCCAAAGCACATAACATCTATAACACAAGGGGAGATATTGACATCATTCTCTATAGAAAGGAAAAACACAAAACCATCTAACATAAGAAGAAAATGAAAAAAAACCTGCTAGGTTTTCTGCTGCATATTTTAAGCAAACAGTTTTCAGTTCCATGGCATGGTAACGGTCAGCCAAGGCAAGGATATCGGCAACGTTGTCAACAGATATGTCCTTGCAAAGGTTTGCCTCACACATCAATCTTAGTCTTCCCAAATCATACTTGTCTGCTGCAGCTAATAGCTTTGTAAGCAGTGTTTCATCCAAAATAGATGAACAAGTCATGCCCGATGTTTTCAATTCCTCGTCTTCTATAAGACAATCCCTGTATATGAAATGCAGCAAAGCCTGACAATGCAGTTGAACATAAAAGTCAAAAGCAACCAAAAACTAAGTAAAAGCACACTAAATAACAATGTTACATAAAAAAACTAGAAAGCAAAAGGAATTGAAGAAAATAAATGAACCAAAAGACAACATAAGAAAGAAAACAGAAGAACTTCACAAGAACGGACAATGCGGTTGGACATAAAAGTCAAAAGCGACCAAAAACTAATTAAAAGCACACTAAAAAACAATGTTACATACAAAAACTAGAAACAAAAAGAATTGACAAAAATAAATGAACCAAAAGAAAACATAAGAAGAACTTCATAAAAATTGATGATGCCTGGAAGTCTTTACAAATTCATGGCTCTTCTATGTGGCCATATTTTTTGCTTTAGAATTTCCCACAAGACAAACACTAAACTTCCAATGAACATATCACTGAACAACCATTAGAAAGACAAGCAAAATAATACCATTTCGCCATATTTTTTGCTTTCGAATTTCCCACAAGACAAACACCAAAATTCCAATGAACATATCACTGAACAACCATTAGAAAGACAAGAAAAATAATACCACTTCTTTAACTTCTATTGCTTATGAAAATGTTACAAAAAAACAGATACACATCACTGTCCAGGTACACAAGTTACAAAGGACAAAAATATAATCAAAGCATTACAAAACTACAGATATAGATGAACGAGGATTTCTCACCTTAAAGACCTTAGGATCTAAATCTGTGATTTTAATTTCATATTGGTTCATATCTGAACTACCAAGAAATCTATCTCGGAACACAGCAGAACGGGCAACCAACACCAACTTATGAGCATGGAATTTTTCTCCAGAAACATCAAAGACAATGTCTGAACCTTCCCGGTTCTCCAGCAATGCGCCAAAATGAATACCTATATCTGATTCGGGGACCTGTATTCTATGTAGTCGGAAGCAGTCCATTGCAGAAACGACAACCCCAACTGTGCAATTTATTTTCAGGCAATCATCCTTGAGGTAATCTGATGTTTCAAGCGCAGCCCGTCTGAAAAAACGTTTATACCCCCTAAAAGAATGATAGACACATGTATAAGCATAGTGTAACAGAGGCATGTCAAACAACGTAATGTCAAGCATCAGTTAATTAAAGAATACAAATTGCAATTATAGCCAACATATCATTTTTAGAAGACCAACCAATATCAGGGAGACAAAACAATAAAAAAGTCAATACCAAGCAGAAATATGAAAAACATGCAGATACGAATGCAACCCATTTTCCCACAAGATTACACCAGAATCTAATGCTCGAATCTCACTTTCAAATATGCAAACACATAAATGAGTTAAACTGCAAATGGGGTCTCTAAAATAAGGCCAAACTTCCAATGAGTTGATAAATTAAAAATTTTTAGAGCCATGCATTTTGATGTTACTTTCAAATGCGTGATACAGTTTGACATGCTATTATTTCTAAAACAAATAAAGGATGTAACTTCATTTGAGCTACAGTGCCATAAGACTGACCGACACCAGCAGACATGGGTGTCACTAACATAGATGATGTCCAATAACAGGAATGATCACAAGAGGTGAATTCCAGCAAGAGTTTAGAAACTACTAATAGTACATGCATAGTCCTAATACTCCTTTTTTTCCTCGTCAAGCTGCACCTACAAACACCATGTAACTACATCGGTTTTCTAAACCATCAAACGCAGCTAAACTTTGCATCTATCTCATATACCTCTAATGGTCCACGATGGATTCTAGTGTGTTCCAGAGTCTTATGCATGGTCCCTATCTTTAAATATCAGCAAATACAAATGGGTGAAATACTACTAAATTTAAAAGCTTATTTTAAATACCCTCTTCTTGTCTTTGTTTCCTAACAGGATTCAAACTCAATGGTACCAGTTTTTTCTTCCAAATTCAAGCCCCTCCTTTTTCTAAAACATTTCTAATCCTAGTAGATAACACAAGAACACAAAATTCTCAAATTTTTAGCAGAAACATTTCTCACTCTTTTAAATCATTTAACACATTAATGATTCATAAATCTCACATGATATTCATTTATCATCTCAAAATCTTATTCTGCGAGTACAACGATATTTTCATTTTTGTAAAAAAATACACTTTAAATATGTTTCGATGCAAATGTTATTATTAATAATTCATTGTTATGATAAAAATGCTCCCAATCAAGATTTTTTTTTTTTGGTTGCGTAGTGGTGTCCCTTAAAATTTGTCTGTGATTGCCTTGTTGTTTGTTCCACATAACCTTCTCTCTTTCAAAAAGGTTTTTTGCTTTATTCAGTATGACTTTACCATTTATGGTCCAGTAAAAACTCTCTCTCACTCACTCAACTGAGGGAACTCTATACTCATGATCTCCTCTTTCTGCATTCGGGCCCCCTCTCTTTCTCTCTCCCATAACCCTAACCCCTATAGTTTCAGGCCATAGATCCCTAGCCAAGTCTCATTTTCTTGGCAACTGAAAAACGCTACGAAGGAACTCTGCCCCCTACTCATAATTCAGGGATAAGAGCTCCAATGGAGGGATCTCTGCAGCGGCATCTTCTGTATGCAGGCCCGATTCCATCTTTTGTAGCAGTGCTGAAGCTCGCTACTTTTCTGCTTAAAATCAATACTAGCAGGGGTGAACCAACCGCCATGTTTTGTCTTGAAAGGGTAGAACTTGCATACCCCTTTTTTTAATAGAGAGAAAGGGGACCCTCTCTTTTCTAGAAAGAAAGCCAGAGAGCTTCGTCCTTGGTCAAGATCACATGCGAGCAAAGAGGCAAAGCCCCCACACACATTCTCATTCTAACCACTACCAAAGCTTTTGTCTCCTCTCAACTCTTTACCTCAAGCTGTGTCCCCTGTTTTATCAATTGGCATTACCCATCCATATATTGCAACAAATCCAGAAACCAATTTATTTCTCTACACTCGGAATGGGCTTTATCACTCTTTCTCAAGAAATTGGCAAACCACCTGAAACTTCATGGGGGACCAAATGCCCATATACACAAGTCTCACCATTTGCTCCTGAAATGGAAGCAGATTCACCTTCAGTGGAGATGGAACCAGAGGTGAGAAGACAGAAATATAAGAAGATACTGAGAAGGTGTCTCCCATTACCCATTCTTGATAGTTGGCTCCAAATCTCTCTGTCCATGTTGCTTCTATATGATCCCCTGCCTCCTAAGAAGCCATGATAAGATTTTTGAATAATGTTCAAAGACTACCATAAAAAAAATCGTCTTGGTAGCCACCCACAAACCAATAGAACAAAGGTTAGCTCTGCTGCTTACAAGGTAAGTAGGTCCATTACCGGCTACCGGCCAGCTCCAGATCGAGAAAAAGATTAATTTTTATTTAAAAATTTTGGAGTTTCAAAATCCTTTTTAATGTTGTTTTTTGGTGATGGTCCATGATGCTCTTTTGGTATGCATGGGCCACCACTTCTTCCTCCCAACTTTTTGCATTGTCTTATTTGCTTTTTATTTGTTGCTTGGTCATGATGAGCTCACCTCTTTGCTCCCAAAGGGAACAAGTGCCCATGCACTTGGCGTTACACATTCTCATGTCTCTCTCTCTCTCTCTTTAGTTGCCACTTCTCGACCCTCCCTATAGTATATTATTTCTCTATTTTATAAGCCTTGGGTAAGAGAGAGAAAGCACATGGAGATGTATGATTTTGGAAGAGTGAAGGCAGTGAGGTTAATAGCAATTTCCAGCAACATTTTGAAGAGAGAAAGCTACCTTAAGGGTGAGTTTCACTTTCAAGCCTAGAAAGAAAACAGTTGGGCCCAAATGGAGTCATAGTTGTACTCCATATCAGCTATACCTAGCACGTGGTAGAATATTGAGAAAAACCTTACAAAGCACCAAGTCTGGAAGAAAGCTAGAGGGAAGGGTTTGGGCCCAAATGAATTTTTGCCACAGGGCAATCGAAATACCTAGGATAAGGAGATCCCAAGTCCAAGGTTCAAGGGGAAAACAAGTCGCTAGTGTGATGTCTGATGGTTGTGAGTACCACAAAATTTTCATATTATGGAAATTTATAAAATTTCTACCCCTTCCCTGGCTGTGTGGTACATTTACTGCAATGAATTGAGAGGTTGATCTTCGCTCTTAATGATTCCATTTGCTTAGATGATGTAAGGCCTAGGCTGGAGTGTTGCACTGCAGGACATCTTTTATGGATTCACCTATATGAGTGTGAAAGTGGAGGTTGCTTCCTATGGGAATTGGGCATTCTCTATAGCGCTCATGAAAACAGGATTCGAGCAGGGCCTTCAAAGCACAAGCCTTTAAGAAAACCACAGTTTTTGAAAGAGAATGTGTGGTGTGTGAGAGGCTTATCAATAAAGGACATAGTTCAAGGTGTGTCCACTCACTGTCCTAATAAGCGTTCCGCATAATACTACGTGAAGGTTTAAGTCCAAAGACACCTTCACTTATACATTCGTATTTCCTGATATGTTTATGAGAGAGGTCTAGTTGTTTTGACACTGGTGGTCAGGATGAACTCACCTCCTTGCCCCCAAAGGGAACAAGTGCCCGTGCACTTGGTAATACACATTCTCCATGTCTCTCTCTCTCTCTCTCTCTAGTTGCCACTTCTCTACCCTCCCTATATTATATTATTTCTCTACTATATAAGCCTTGGGCAAGAGAGAGAAAGCATATAGAGATGTATGAATTTGGGAGAGTGAAGGGTGTGAGGTTAATGGCAATTTCCAGCAACATTTTGAAGAGAGAGAGGTACCTTATGGGTGAGTTTTCAAGCCTAGAAAGTAAACAGTGAGGGCATAGTCTCTCTAATAAGAGAAAGGATTCATTTGAAGCTATGTTCTCACAATTTTTCAGGTAACTTTTTTGTTAAAAATGTCTTTCAATTTACTTCGTGAGAAATTTTTTGTACTTCTTTTTCTTGATCGAAGTGTGTGTTCTACCGATTGGATGATGTTTTTCTTGTGAGAGAAGTTTTGGTCCAATTGATGATTCTTGTACAACACCAATTGGAAAGACATATCAATATTTTGTAATCGTGGTTTTGTACAGGTCCCATGACTGTGCAACTCAAGGACTCAGGAATTATTTTCCGATATGACTGCAAGCCAAGAATGTGGTTGGTTGCCTCACTAGAAGGAAGATTCAAAAGCAAGTTCTCAGTTGGAAGATTTCCCCATCTCCTGTAATATTTCTGTTGCATATGTCACTGCATCAAAATGTGCAATATTTACATTTTCTACTCTTTCCAATACATCGTTCTCCAAGAGATTTTCTTCGCATTTGCCTCAACAAATGACAAATGTGCCATATTCACATTTTCTACTCTTTCTACATACATCACTGCCATAGGAATTTTTTGTTAAGCAATATAAACCAATCCTAATCATGATAAACATAAAAATCAAATATCAATATCACAAAAACCACCTATAAATAATCCAAGCAGATAACTGAACAGAATTACGTTGAATTGTTCGAAAACAATATAAACCAATCAAGCCAAGCTACTTACACAAAACGCCAAACCTGAAACTTATGGCACAAATGATAGTAGAGCCTCCACAGGAAGTTTAAATAAATGAATCATGTACGCAGATAAAAGTTATCAGATTCATAGAAATGTTACTGATCAAAGAGAAAAAGCTACTAATTCATAACCATACCACATACTGCCTCGATATTTCAATGTATAAGGCCCACTCTCAAGTGACCGATCAAAATGGCTATGCACCTTGTCCTTCCCTTTCCCACTCTGGTCCACTAATGTGAGCTCGAAAAGGGCTCTAATATCTGTCCCTTCACTTGCCAAAGCAATGAACACAGAGACGTATAGAGAGTTATCCTCTGCATTTTTACCATCAGGGTAAAAATATATAGCCCATTGATAACCAGCCACAGTAAAATTATCACTGGCTATATGTCTACCAACCCCCATGCCCTTTGCGAGAGAGTAACCCTGGATCACGAATCGATGTGAACCTTTCACTGTCTCTGTAATTGACCTTGAACTTGTCGGGGTGATGGAAAATCTTTCGGGAAAGTTTTCTGGCGAGTTTTCTGGCATTGTCCAGTAATTAATCTGTGAAATTGGGAGTTTTCATGGAAAGAGCTTGAGCATATTGGGCTAAACCCTAGAACACCAGAATTTGGTTACAGAGAGACACCCTACGCTGGGAAAAAAAACAAAAAAAATGAAAGCCCATATTAGGTACGAATAGACCCCTAGACTACAAAAAAGGTCCCAATAAAAAAAAAAAGAGGATGGAGATGAACCCTAGGCTGGGAAAAGCGTGTGCATTAAAAACCTAAGACGCGTGGGGGAAAAAAGGAAATTTATCAAAAACACAAAAACTGGATATAAAAACCGGGCAAAGGTCGGTAAACTCTAGGTCGCCAGATTGTGCAGAGAAAAACCTAGCCTGCCACAAATTTCTCAATAAAACCCTAGGCAGCCAGAAATGATTACAATTACCGCAGGCGACCTGAAATTTATTGAAATTAACAAACCCTGCCTTCAGGGGAATCGTCCACAAAAACTTCAGGGGAATCGTCCACAAAATAAGCCGAGGGCCTCGAAATAATTATGATTACAAAAGCATGCAACAATAAATTATTGAGCAATAAAACCTAATCCACTTTGTTTTTTTTATCAGTCTCGTAACCCTGAGTCGCTTGAAATTAATGGACGTTACAGCCCTAGGCGCCCAAAATTATAACATTAAACAAAAAACTGACCTTACAGAGATTATTGAAAAAATGAATTCAGACCGCCAGGAAATTTTCAAATGTAAGAAGTAGAATTCAGAAAAGATAATAATAATAAAATAAAGAAAACCCTGATCACCCGAAATTTGTTACAATAGAAGCCTGAAAAATACTGGTTTTTGCCCGAGATCTGAGAAATTGGAGCGTAAATGTCGAGACAGACATAGCCGGCAAAATTTTCCGGCGAGTGATGGGAAGAAGATAATTAGAAAGGTCGACACAGAGGTAGCCGGTAAATATTCCCGGCACGTAACGACGGCGAATACGATATTAACTCAGGTCAGAGAAGATTCCAGAATATTATGATAGGACAGAGTGTAAAACTTTGGAAGAAATGAAACCAAACTTGGACTTTGTGAGAAACATTTTCTGTTCTTTTATACCAACTTCCTGGACAGAGATATTTTATGAACTTCCTGGACAGAGAGATATTTTTAGAATCTTTGGATTCATTGAGGACGTGCCCAAGGGAGTATGTAGAGAAAGGGACACAAATCCATGTGAGAGAAACATAAATAATGGGATTAATGTCTTAAGATTCGACGATTTCTAATTTAGATCAGAGAGAAACATAAATAATGGGATTAATGTTTTAAGATCCGATGATTTCTAATTTAGTTGAGATGGAAATCACCCAGGACCGAATCAATTATGAGATGGTATGGTTCCCATCCGGGGTTACCTCAAACGCCTTACTTTTAATTTTTTATTTTTATTTTTAAGTTTATCTACTTTTTTTTCATATCCCCCAAAATCTCAACTTACAAATCCCTATTTTTATTTTTGTTTTATTTTATCTATTCTCTATTAGTTTGTTAGTTGATTGATTCAAACCGATCCAGATCCAATCATGATCGATCTAATGATTCGACATATATATGCGAATAAACGATCCGCCTTACCGATCTAAATTTTGAAACACTAAATGGAACAAAGACCTATGAAGGAGAGAAGAAAGATGCATATGCAAAAAGAATAATAAATCTTAAGCGAGATAGATGTACAAATGCAATCTTAAAAAACAAGAGCTCGGGCTTAATTGGTTAGCGCTTGACGATTTGCAACACTTCGTCTTAAACTCACCCAAAAAAAATAAAAAAAGAGGACATAAATTTAAGATATGTAAGGTAGGAAGAAGTGGGGACCGGAGAGGGGGATGAAATGTACACATGAGGTGTGAGTAAACCGGTGAGGTTATACTTGCGATTCGATTTTATATAAGGAAAACTGTTTCATGATTTAGGGGACGCATTTATACATTTATGTTCCCTATGGTATAAAGCATTTATTTTAAAGATGGATATAAATAGGCGGTCTATCTAAAAACAGTTGAAACTGATGGTTCAAATGTTTTTTTAATAAAATTGTTATTTTTAATTTTAAAAAAATTATTTCCAAGACTATACGTATTTAAAAACTAAGTCCAAAAATCCATCTTCAAAAATAGATTTTTAAGAGGGACCATTTTTACATGGACTCACAAAAACCATATCCTTATATAATAAATAGGTCTCTGAACTGGCAATAGTATTATATATTAATAGTTGCTTGACAAAAGTAAAAAAAACTTTATTAAAATATCATAAAATACGGATAATCTAACATTCTAGCCTTTTTGACACTATTCCAACTCAAAACTATATGCTTTTTGGTGCTGTTTGTATAGAGCAGAGGCTCTAAACAATCAAATTAGAGCCCACATTTAAATAGTATCGAGAAATACAGTTTCAATACTGGAAATCTTTGACTAGCCTTAAAATATATTTTCATCTTTAATTATAAAATTTAAACTTTAAAAAATTATGTATATCGACAAATCTATAAAAATTTGAATAACTTGAAAATTGACAGTCCAAAAATGCGCAACAAGATGCCCGGCTTTCAAATTTTGAAATCCATTTTATTCTCAAGTATTTCGAGATGATCAATTTGAGGATATTTGAGCATCAAAACAACATCTTCTAGTGAAAGTTTTGAGGTAGGCTCTAATTCAATTGTTTAGAGCCTAGGCTCTATATAAACTTCTCCCTATGTTTTTTATTGTTATTTTGAAATTAAATCAAAAGTTATTGGAAAGATGGTAACTTAATAAATTTCCTTGAAAATAATTTGTGTTAGGTCATGACATTTTTAGTTGTTCCTTGCCAATTGTCGAATCTGATATAATCAGATAGACAATCATATATCTCCATACATATATAAATGGACACGAATTTTATGAGTTAGCCGACTTATATGTAGATATGCGTCCTCTCTCGCAATCCATTTTTTTTAATGGATTTTGAACTTAATTATTTGGGGATACATAAATAAATTATTTAGAATCTAAAAATGATAGTTTTTGAAGAATAAATTTAAACCATCAATTTTATTTTTATGATGAGATGCATCAAGGCGGCCGCAAATGTAGAATTGCATCCCCAAACGCACAATTGAGGGATAATATATACGAAAATATAAAAGGGATGTAGAGACAAAGGCATATATATTCGGATGAAGTTTCTATAAGTCCTAGGCTTTAGGAAAACCAAATAAAGCTTAACCTCAAATCATCACCTAAAAAGCACTTTCGCCAACAGAAATATCTATAATGACTCTAAAATAAATTTTCAACACCAACAATAAAATTCGAAACTAAAAAAATTACAAATCTTGTGGATCTTTTGAACACTTATTTTAGGGTGAAATGAACGGTCTAGACAATTTGTTAAAATATACATTATTTTTAGAACTTGAAATCCTAAATTTCCTCCACAACTATAATGTTCAAGCCAAGATGACCATTGTAAAAGTTTTCCAATGCTTGAATTGCAAATTTCGATGAGTCCATGTGAGATGAATATAAAAGGGATCTAGAAATAAAGGCATATATCAGGATTCCTTGGCCGGAAGTGGATTTTCTAGTTTGTCTAAATTGTAACTGCATCCTCTAAATTTTGATGGTATGATTAAAAAGTCAGACACACCTATTTAAAAAGGAAAAGTATATATTGATACCATTTATCTTTAGTACAAGGCACTCACAATTAATCTTTTTCATTGGATGTGAAATTGAATAGCTGCATTTATTCCATTGACCAAGCTCAAACTTCAAACAAATATTTCACTAGCTTTGTGACACCCCCATGCTATCAGAATTCAGAACATATGGTTGTAAGTAATTGTGACCTTCTTGTATTAAATGTAAATAGTCATATTTCATTTTAAAAAACAAAGAAACAAAAAAAACTATATGAGATGTAGAAATATTTTGGCTGACCGTAACAAGTTAATGTAAGGTTCAGATGATGATGTTGTAAAAACGATACCACACTAGGAGCAAAGTAATGTAGAATGAGAAGCATGAGTATTTATAAGCGATTTTACAAATAACACAGGTGTTGATAACAAATGGAACTCCAAATTTAGCTTTTCAAATAGCACACAATCATATCCTATTTTAGATAAGGGTGCGGTTTCTATTGAGCCTATGCTCTAAATAGTCAAATTAGAGCCTATCTTCAAATAGTGTCGAGAAATGTGGTTATATTATTTTGGCTGACCATAACAAGTTAATGTAAGGTTCAGATGATGATGTTGTAAAAACGATACCACACTAGGAGCAAAGTAATGTAGAATGAGAAGCATGAGTATTTATAAGCGATTTTACAAATAACACAGGTGTTGATAACAAATGGAACTCCAAATTTTGCTTTTCAAATAGCACACGATCATATCCTATTTTAGATAAGGGTGCGGTTTCTATAGAGCCTATGCTCTAAACAGTCAAATTAGAGCCTATCTTCAAATAGTGTCGAGAAATGTAGTTATATTGGAAATCTATGTGATAGCTTTAAAATATATTTTAATATTTATTTATAAAGATTAAGCTTCAAAAACAATATAGATTGACATATCTATGAAAACTTGAAAATTTTGAAAATTGACGGTCCAAAAATACGTTACAAAATACAATATTTCTAAAACTTGCATTCTATTTTTTTCTCATGTCCTTGCATCTTGATGTCGAGATGATCAATTTGAAGATATTTGAGCATCAAAACAACCTCTTCTAATGAAATATTTGAGGTAGGCTCAAACTTGATTGTTTAGAGCTTGGACTCTATATAAACTTTTTCCTTTAGATAAAGAGGTGGCGGGGTTTTAGGTGAGGTATTATTTGTACATTGACATTTTAACAAAAATATCAATAAAATTTGTGTAAGTTCTAAAATATCTGAATATCATGTTATTAGCACATCAACACGCACCAAAAACCACTTTCACGCATCCATTTTATATATAGCTACAATAGATTAAAAGTTAGGATGCAATTTCTATGAGGCCCCGGCCTTATGAAAACAAAGTAAGGCCGCACCTCAAATCCTCATCAAGAAAGCACTTTGGGCATCGGAAGCCTGCATGATGGCAATCAATTATAATATTGATTATAAAATTTGAAGCTAAAAAAATGGTGTAGATGTTGCAGACTGGTAAACATTTATTTTTTCAAACAAAATAGATGGTCTAAATAATGTGTTACAATGCACGCTATTTTTAAGATTTAAAATCCAAACTTTTTTTAACAACTATGATGGCTAAAGATGAGATGGTGGATTTGAAGGTTTTCCGATACTAAAACTATATTTTTCTACGATTTTGAGGTGAGGTTTTACTTACAACTATAGCCCTATCAAAACGATTTCGTAGAAGTTATGACGTAGTAAGGAACTAAGAGTTTTGCTTCGGATTATGGCCGATCCAGCCATCATTGAAATTTATTTGCACATGTACCATGGTCCATATGATTACAAACTAATACGTGCTCATGAGGTAATCACTGTCTGTTTAATGGTGCACGGTGATGGAGAGAGATTAAAGCATGCGAATCATGACTCTATTTCTAAATGTAGGTCATATTTTCTCAATTACCATAGAAATCATTGGTTTGACGGTGATAAGCATAATGACAGCAAATTTGATATGGTCATATGGATAATGCCCTACTCACATTTTGAGTCTTTCGACTACTCTTTGTTGCCAAGGATGGACTCAAGGCATAGGTGGTTAAGATAGTAAGTGCCACAACACAACCTCTTGAGTTCTATTTTTATACAGATAGGGGAGCTCATTTCTGCTATTGCAACCTTAAAATTTTATCATAACATATAATTTTGTTGTAAAAAATTATTAGTATTATCTTAAAATCTATTTTCATACCTAATTAGAAAAATTTAAATTCCAAAAATGGTTAAAATCAAGTAGACCTATAAATATGTGAAAATCTTGAAAATGGACGGTCTAGATAATGTGTTGCAATATGCACTATTTTCAGGACTCAAAAACTTTTTTTTATATATTCATACATCTTCATGTCGAGATGATCGATTAGAGGGTTTTTTCAACATTAAAACAACATTTCCGATAGATTTTTGAGGTGCATTTGTGATTCTACATTTTAAGGTTGCAACCTTATATAAATTTATCCCTTAAATAAATGTCATTAATTGTATTTTTAAATGTAAGGGAAAGGTCACTGTGTAATTTGATTTGTACACTTTCAAGAGTGAAAAATAATGAAATTTCATCCAATGTTTCTGAATTTCAAATTCTCAATGGACCAAGATGATATCCATATTTTTAGAAATAGGGATCAGAATACAAACTTTTGTAATATTATGAATATTAAAATGACATTTGGTAGAATTGGGTTTTGTACGAACCATTTTGTTTCAAACCCAACAAATAGGTCTGACTCAGATTCGACGAAGTTATCCAGACTTGAAGAATCCTGAGAACTGACTGAGCCTTAGCGATTTGCGCGATTTTATTATTACCTTCTTGAAAACTCGGTTGAGTCTCTGACAAAGTCAACTGAGTAGAGTCATCTTACCTGCGCTCGAGAACCCAGAGAGTCGCAAACCGGGCATTTGCTTTAAAGCGATATTACATGCAATATTTACATAGTAAACTTTCCTTAACTCAGTTGGTTCTCCTGAAACACTACTGCTCCGTTAACACTACGTTCACTGCTCGTCGAAAGAAGGGCAAAAAAAAATTATATTCCTACTGCGATACTGGAACGAGCCAGAGGGATTCTAGACTCACCGCCTGAGAGGAGAATGGACTGGAACAAGACAGAGTTCAGTGAACAAGAAGTTTGTCTTCCGCATCTCATAAATAACATTGACCACCTTAGTTGCTAAATAACTCAATGTTTATAACCTTTAAAAGGTCGATTATAGCATCATTATTGTTAGGGCATTATCCCAACTATTTGGGATCGGCTTTACGAATCCTGCTCCATCGTTCTACTCTAGTAAAAGCCATATCTTTAGTAACAATATAAAATTAATTGCTAAAAGATAATATTTTTGGAGATTCTTTTAATCCTATCTTTAGCTAATTTGTGAAAAGACATTTATTTCTAACCTACCATCCTCTCTGTACCCTCCTTTCCATCTTCACTTTTCTTCTTGGGAGAGCAGAGCAGGTTTCTACTGACCCACTCTTTTTGCACCAAAGCCACCATACTCACAATTATTTTTGATATCCAATTTTATCATCACTCATATTACCCAGTCTTCTGCACCATAGTCCCATTTATTTTTGATAGATTAAATATATTTTCAATTTATAATGTCATTTATATTGCTCATAATATCCCAATAATATGAATTTATAATGATATTTTAAGGCTCCTTGTTATTATCATGATCAGAAAACTTCTCTTTTTGTAAACCATGTCATTGAAAGCAACAATAACACTATGAATCTGATAGGAATTATGTCATTTACCTAAAAATAGCTCTAAAATCACAATAACGCATATAAAGAGTAATATGCAAATATTTGATACTAGATACTTAAGTTAAAGTTATTTACTTGGATAACAATTTTAAAATTTTAATTTTTGTAGGCATGAAGTCATTTTTATTAATACCAAACGGTTAAAGCACCCATTATTATTTTAGAAGGTAGACTTTGGATGGCACTTTATCATACTAATTCAAGCCAAATTGAGCCAAGCCAAGTCCCAAGACAAAACAATTCCAACTCAGTTATTCACAAATAAACAAGTGCAAGCCACTAATATAAAGTTATCAACCTGACTTGGAATAGTTTGTCACCCAGCCTACTTGGGATCGCTTAAGTTGACTTAAGATCTAGAGTCAAATCAAGCCATCTGGTGCATAAAACCCCATAAATAACTTGAATCTTCTAATTTTTCACATGATCTCAATTTCTTTAATTAAATATTACTCGAGTAGGATCGGATGGACTCAAGCTCTTAATTGTAGCGAGTCGCAGTCGGGTATTCGAATATTTTAAACACCAGTTCAAGTTAATCCTAAGGGTGAAGTTTATATAAGGTGTCAACCTTATACTGTTGAAGTAAGACGCGCCTCAAAACTATACTGAAAGATGCAGTTTTGGTACTGGAAAGCCTTGCAATGACAAAAAAAAAATATCTTGTTACCCTTAATTATAAAATTTAAAGCTCAAAAAATGATGAAGATCGAGTAGATCTATAAACAATCAAAATTTTGAAAATAGACAGGTTTAAATAATGGGTTATAAGATGTGAGTAATGATCTTATAGGACCCTCTCCCACCCATGTGTGTAGAACCCTAAAGGATCACCATTAAAGTTGGCACGGATCTCTATAAAAGTTATCACATGGGTGTGGGACTTGACTTTTCTATAGATCCATACCAAATTTAATGGTGATCCTTTTGGGGTCCTACACACAAATATTTTTCTACAAGATACACTATTTTGATGACTTGAAATTTTTCCATACGTCTCAAGGTTGATATAATCTACTTGTGAGTTTTTTTACCATTTAACAACCTTTTCCTATAGGTTTTTAAAGTGCGCATTACATATAAATTTTCACCCAAATCAAAAAGAATAAATGATGACTTAAAAAAGGAAGAAAAAAGAGTACAATTAAGCGAAACTTATAGAGCAGCTGAAGCCGATCCATGACTAGAAACCTAAGTCGAGTCCATATAGTGAGACCGAGTCCCACAAAGCTAAGCCGAGTCGATGGCATGACTACCCCCAAAAGCGTGATAGCGTTAGATTCCCACACGGGACGGGAAGCACAAATCGTGTGAAGTCACCAACCCCGTTTTTTAATTTAAACAATTGACATGATCTCACACGTGTGTAACCCACCCACTATTATTTAAGTACTGTAATTAACATAGACCCTCACACGTGCGAGGCTCTCCCCCTCCCTCTATAAATTGCCATTTTGGGTAACGCTCATTCACTCTACGCACACACAATGTCACACCTCACACTGAGGGGGAGGAGGTGCCTCTCTCACGAGACTAGCATGCACCTCCCCTTTCTTTCAAATTTCTTCCATCTCTACCCTTCAAAAACTCTTTAATCACATGTATGCCCTTGCGGGCCGACTGTGAACCCCCTATGGTCTTTAAGTCCTAGGGATAGCCCCCTAGGAGCTTAAGGTGCTAGCGATAGCTTGATCTGTGAACCCCCTATGGTCTTTAAGTCCTAGGGATAGCCCCCTAGGAGCTTAAGGTGCTAGCGATAGCTTGATCTGATACTAGAGAAAGCCCGATTTCGGTACAGGGATATCCTCGCCGGATACTGTAGGAAGCCATATATTTCAGTATTGGGGATGACCATGTTAGAGACTAGAGAAAGCTTATGATAGTTGTTATGGTCGCAACTACTCATGATCTCCCGATTCTTATCATGGCTTAGGGAGACCTGTGATGCCATTGAAGTACAGGCCTTGAAAGTTTGCTTAAATATGTAGTAGAGGGGGATCCATAGTAGTTATTGCCCTCCCTACATTCTCATTTCTATCAAATTTCCCCTTTTTAGGAATATGATGGCCGTTTCTCCAAAAAATTTGCCAAAATTTTCCACTCCATAAAATTCGTCAAATGCTAGGATTTTGAAGGCCATTTCTCCATAAAATTCGTCAAATTTCAGAGAAGCTACAAGTATAGGGCAGGGCTGGAATTAATGGAGGCCTCTGGGCGGAAGGCAACGGGCTTTCGAGACGGTGCTCTCGGGACGAACACTCCATGTGGAGCATGCAAGTTCCTTAGACGCAAGTGCATAAGTGGGTGTGTTTTTGCGCCGTACTTTGGCTCGGACCAAGGGGCCGCCAGGTTCGCTGCTGTGCACAAGATTTTCGGTGCGAGCAATGTATCAAAACTGCTGCTCCATGTGCCAGTATCTCGGAGGCACGAGGCGGTGGTGACCATATCATATGAGGCGCAGGCCCGACTCTCTGATCCTGTCTATGGATGTGTATCCACCATCCTAGCTCTACAGCAACAGGTTAAACTTTCAAATCTAAAATCTATGCTAATAACTCCAATTCTTTTCTGCAAACTTCCATGAAGTTTTTGCAATTTTAACGTTCGAATATATCTTCCCCTATGAACTCGAAAGAGATCAAGTCCGTAATACTTCACATTCCTTACAGGAGTTTGATACTGTACTTTTTCCTCTTCAATACTCCCATTGCGCCATGATGCCATAGCACTAATTAAAATCGCCAAAATTTACATTTCAGTTCTTCTGTGCCCTTTTTTTATTTAATTTCACCTTTTCAATATTTTAGAAAATTAAAATTTGCATGCCTACTTTAGATGCCTATTAATAGGCAACATACTTGGCAAATTTTGTATTATATTAAACAAGAAATGAATCTTTTGGATATATTTCATAGGATACGAGTGAATAATTTTTAGTAAATACAAAATATTTGGATTAATTATCTTATTCTTTTTGGGCTTTCATGCTTATGATTTGATGATAGTTATTATTAGTTAAGGGACTTTTTTTATAAGAATACATTTGTTTATAAAAAAAATTAGAAGCTTTCAGGGCATTAGTATTTTCAGGGCAAGCTTTCCATCTTTTTCTTTTGGCATAAAACTTATATACTGTCCTCTATCCAACCGTCCATTCTAAATGGACAGCTAAAATAACCCCAATAGCAATGTCACGCCTCAACACTAATCTATTTTTTAATTTTTGTCTACAAAATATTTTGACACCAAATTTTGGGTGGCCACTTTATCTTTTAAACTCCACCTATAAAAAATATACAAAAAAAATATTATCACTAAATACCTCTAAAACTTTCACGCATATTTTGAACATTGTATTTTATCAAAAATATTTTTTAATATTTGTTTTAGGTGCACCCATTGAGATAATGGCACCTACCAAATTTCACATTCCTATAATTTTTTAAAAAAAATCTTAACAGAAAATATTATGAGGCCTCAAATCTAGATCAAAATATCAGTGGCTCACATGATCTAAATTAGATGGCTGGATGGAAGAGAAGTATACATATTTCGAAATTTCCAAAACTAATTTAAATATCGTTGTAGCAAGCATGATGAGAAAGAACATATTATTTCCATTTTTTTTTTTTTATGAAATTCCATAGCATCCTTCTTCGAGCATGAGTCATTCGACATAGAGACTAGCAAAAACAACTAAAAAAAGATTGAAATATTGGAGTGTGATCGTCCCCAAAGACAATCGAGGCCCTTCATTATTTCTAAATTAATCACAGCCGTTTATTCCTTATTTTAGACCAAAAATAAAAAGAACATTACAAGGTCTTGGCAAGCATCCCTTATCATGCTGTCACTCGAGCCCGTGGCTTAACATTGAGGCATACTTCTTTCTGTCCTCTTTTCTACATTATTCAATGCGATAAATTTATAGCAAAATCTCATTTTCTTTTCAATATTTAAATTACTCTTTCTATATTTCATATTTGGGAAATTTTTCGAACTTTGTGACACATTCAAGCTATCAAATTTCACATCAAATACCTTCATATTTTAAGTACCACTTTTTGAAAACATATAGTATATATATATATAGGATGATGCTACCCTTAGCCCAAGGGCTAACAGGAAGATATGAGCCGTCGATCTGATGATTATGGATGGCCTATAGTGTTTGAATTTTAATTTTTTTTTCTATAAATCCAAATCACTCGGAATTTTAAATGTATGTTCATAAAAAATAGGTGAATATTTGAAAAATATCAAAAAAATATTTTACATAAAAAAATGGATTAAAATACCCCCATAAAGTTTCGAGGGTATTTTGATCAATTTATTTTTTACATATTATTTTTTTAATATTTTTATTAAGTGCTGCTTGATGAGAATAACACACGTCTAAAATTTTAAGTGATTTAGGTTTATAAAAAAATATTAAAATTCAAACACAAAATGAAATCATGACCATCAGATCAACCCATATTCAATGTGAATTGTTGGGCTCATATCTTCTTCCTATTAGCCCTTGGGTTAACATGAAGATTTTCCTTTTATATATATATATATATATAAACATCGAATAAGCTCAAATTTGGGACATGCACATTTCTTTCCATCACATACCTGTAAAAATAACACACTACACTTTCAAATAACTAAAATTACCAAAATACCCCTAAGTCATGACGGGGTATTTTGGCCATTTTTAGTATTGAACAATCTTTTTTTCATTTTTTTACAAACGGCCAAATTTGATCTAATCCAATTATTGAAAAATTAAATTAAAATACACTATAGACTCTAAAAAACTGAGAGGAGTGTAACATAGGAAAATATAAAAGACTATTCTCAATTTTGGAAATTAAAACGGGATATTTTTACAAATTTCACTATCATTATATCGTTCAGTAGTTGTTGTGGTGGTGGTTGTTATTGCTATTATTATTATTTTACCTAAGAATCATGCCTCCTAATATTAATTTTTCTCATCTTCAATTGCCAATCCTCCTCAAGCCCTCTCCTCCCAACTCCTTCAATTGCTAATCCTCCTCAAGCCCTCTCCTCCCAACCCCTAAACGATAACTCGTTGTAATACGCTGCCAAAAACCGGAGATTTAAGGAAAAAATTGACAATAAGTATCAATTGCATACTATAGAAGTGAGGGGCATGTCAAAATCCTATCATAAAATGTTATTTTGATGTTGGAAAATCATCCAATAGATCATCTCGACCTTGAGATATATAGATATGAAAAAGTAAAATACATTTCAAGCGCAAACACCCCATGTCATCCTTTCGCTACACAGAGATTACAAATACCCCAATCCATCATATGCAAATCCTCAAGTTGTTGTACAGTAGAAAAATAACATCAGTGCATATTTGCCCTAATGAATAACTCGCAATCATTTGAAATCCAACAACATTGTTTTAATAGAGCTTTTACAAGGAAACATCGAGATGTATGACCGAGAAAAATAAAAAGATTTTAAGTCTAAAAAATAGTGCATTATACAACATATTATCTACACCGTCCATTTTCAAGATTTTCATATGTTTAAAGATCTACTTGATTTTAACCATTTTTAAAATTTAAAATTTTATACTTAGATATAAAAATAGATTTTGAGATAATCCTAAGAACATTTTAAATCAAAATTATATATCATGATAAAATTTGAAGGTGCACCTTACCGCTACAGCTACGGATGCATCCATATGCCAATTGCACCCTACAAGGAAAAATGTATATAAGGTTGCAAACTTACTCATAGAAGAAAGGTTAAAGTAATCAAACTGTTCATTTTATTTTAATGGTATACATTCGACACATGTCAATATTTGACGATATCTTAATCAGATCAAATCAAAACCACCTAACTAAAATGGATGGTGCAGGATATTCCAACTCTATTATACAAGCAGGATATTACAACTCTATTGTAAGCCATGCCCTTTTTCAAATGGGTTCTCTCATATGTGGCATCCCTACAAGTTGAGCTATCAGTTTTGCAATCTCAACTGATTAACAGTTTTAAATAGCTTACAAACATTAGAAACAGCAAACCTTTTCAAACCCTTGGTTACAAACATCAATGTAGCAAATCCACAGGCCAAATACCCAAAACACAAATTTGTTTTAATAATGTTTTCTCCCATGGGTATTTAGGTGGCATCATTACAAGCTGAGCTATCACTCGTGCAATCTCAACTGATAAACAGCAGGTTGGCCATGGCAAATGCACCTCAACACCAACAAACACACATGGCCCTTTTACAGCCAGCTTATTCAAATAATTCATCAGCTTCCAACAATTTGATAAATATTGGAAGCCTTCAAGGGAGCTTTGAGCCCTTGCAAGTGTCACACCCAACACAAGAGGAAGATGATGAAGAGGAGAGTCAGAACCCGATAGCTTTCTCGAATTCAGTTCTTCAAAGGAAGTAACTTCTTTCAAAATAATGAGAACTTTCTCTATTTTCCTTTTTCCTTTGTTTTGTTTTTTTGTTTTTTGTTTTTTGTTCTTCTATAAGAATGGGTGGTGGGGATGGGTGATGACGAGACACACCGTGAAGTTTCCAACCATTGGATCTTGTTAGACGAATCTCATTCGTTGGAGCTAAGCAGAGAAATTTAAATTTTTGGAAGTACAGAGAGAAAAGAGCATGGTGATTATTTACTGGAAATAGAATTATGTGCAAGGACTTGGCATAATTGGTATATATATATATATATATATATGTTAGCAAGGACTTGACATAATTGAAGCTTTCTCTCTGTCTCTTACACACACATAACACAAAAGAAGAAAGAAAATCCCCATGTACAAACATGTTTCTTTCCTTTCTTGAGGACTTCCAACAAGCTGAGGTGTCCATTTCAAAAGAGAATGCTGCCTCTGAGAGAGAGAGGGAGTATAGAAGAAATAGAAATACACAAATAGAAATCTCACCTCATGTTTGTTCAAATGGGAGAACACCCAAACAACCAGCACTTCCACAAAAACACAGAGACAAGGCTTTTGAACCAAGGCTAGAAGAAGCCCCATAACTGAATGTGAGCTCCTCCCCTAGGGCCACATCTCTTGAGGCGAATAAGCAAAGGCGGGGAAGAAGCCTGCCCCTTGTACGCACTAAGATTGGAGAGAGGTTACCCCCATCACAAGAGTGGTTGATGAGACGAGCCACATTTCCGAGCCTCGTTGCATCGATGTTGACCCTTAGGCATGCCTCACCTGAAGGCAAGTGCTCACGCACAACCATGAGTGCATGAGAAAACCGGCCTTTCTTGGAAAGCTCATCGTAAAGGAGCTGCCTTTTCTTAGTCTCACTTGTAGTTAGGACTTCACCTGCAAGACCACAGTACGAAGTGCTTTGGGATCAGATTTACCTTAGTGGGAAGTGACAAAGAATTGTGTCACCTGTCCATGGTTTTGGTGCAATCAACCCATCAAGGACATAATATTTATATCAGGGACTTTAAAAACTTAGACATTTTTTTAAGAAGGTAATTTTATGTATTTATAATATTTAGACACTTCATGTTAATATTTAGATACTTCATATTGGAATATCATTATAACAAATAGAATTTCAATAAAAATCAAAGTTTATTTTTATTACCGATATATCGTGTATAAGAAGTCAATTTCAAAATTGACATTTCTAACACTTATATCAAATTAGACGCTGACACATACATCTATATTCTTATTAGACGCTGACACATACATCTCTTGTAAGATAGGTTCAACTAGAGCAAGAAACCAAATTGAGAGCTTAAGAGGAGACTCTCTCTTGTCCCAAAGGGAGTGACATGGGTAACAGTTTGCGTATTGCAACAAGAACCACAGAAAAAGAGAACGAGAGTGCCCTTGGGGACTTGAGTATGGTGGGACACTCGCCGTGAGCTGGGCCAACCCTGGCCTAGTGTGGCCTGGCTTGGATTCTTGACACTAGAACCCAAGCACTTCAGGCACAGCCCGGCGTGGCTGGAGTCTGGACCGCATATGTTTGCTCCGGCCCGGGCTTGGGCTGCCAGGCCGAAACAGATGCAGTTGGATGCATCGTTCAAGTCTTAACTGCTATCCATAATCAGAAAACAATTAGAATCACTCAGGTTACAAACTCACAATGCCCCAATACAGCTATAACATCTAAATTTCACGTGGTTCCGGATGTATCCGATACATCAAAAATGTCATGAGATTCACATTAACGTTAAAGCAAATGGGGACCGAGATTATTACTCGTCTTTGTTACAGAGAGAGAGAGAGAGAGCTCTTACCGGCATATTCGCAAACAAATTCTCCACGACGAATAAGCTGTGCGGCGTGCAACCCCCAACCTTTGGATTCGTGCTTCACAACTCTCAATCTCACTGATATCCCCTTTTGATTGACTCTGTTCCTGCATTCTTCTTTGCAATTGCATCCAGACCCACACTCCAAAATTGCTCCAAATTCCAAACCTCCCTCTAAAAGTCCACCCCCAAAATCCCTGCACCCGCACTTCTTCCCATCTTCATTCAGAAAACAATCACCACAGCCACAACCAGGAGACCCCATTGTTAGAGAATCCACATTTTGAAGACCCATTGGAGGAGATATATCTTTGGAGAGAGAGTGCTTTCCCCATGGCTGGCTCAGGGAGGATGAGTGAGAAAGACCCAAGACTGGGAATGGGGTGTAGAGGAAATAAGGGTAGAGGGTTTTGTCAATGGTGTTGGAGATGGGGATTGAGTGCTTTTCGAGGCCCCTCGATGTGTCTGAGACTCTGTAATCAGTGATGGATTTTGCAATTTGGTGGAGAGATTTGCAAGTTGTAGAGAGAGAAGCCAAGTCTTGGGGGGGCAGCCATGGAAGAACCAGTTCTGCCCATTCCAAACTTTTGTTCCACTTTTCCATGTTGGGTTGCTTCTCTCTCTTCATTTCGCATGTAATCCGAAGCACAAAACATTTCACTAGGACCCCCACCTCTGAAGCCACCAATCTCTCACTCTCTCTCTCTCTCTCTCTCAAGCCTGAGGATTCCTTGGGTTTTGTCCTAAATGGGTTCGTCTTCCTTGGGTTTCGTCCTAAATGGGTTCGTCTGGGACAAATTTGGAAGGTTGGGTCCCCCTCACTTAAAACCAAAATTTGGATATTACAGGACTCTCCTACACCTACAAGCATGGGACCTCAACACACCACTACTCTTAAATTTCAATCCAAATCCGACTTAATCCCTCCCATTGTTTCTTTAAAAAAAACTATATTTTTTTGGCTAACTCTTTCTCTCTCCCCTCATCGGTACTTCCCTTCACCATATACTCCGGCACTTCCATGCATCTCTCCATCTCTCTCCTCGCTCTCTTCCATCTCAATATGGGTTTTTTAAACCCCCATCCATCACTCTCCACTTCTGCATTTAATCTCTCTTCCTCTGTGTCTCTCTCTCTCTCCCAAGCCCTTTGCTATCACCCCTCTCTCTTCCTCTGTTATGTGTATATCATCGTTATCCCTTAATCTCTCTCTCCCTCTACCCAGCCTCTGCTTAGGCCCACTCTCTTCTCCCATCCTCGAATACAAAACCCAACAAAAGAAATTAAGCATGAAAAAATCGTGAATTGAGGGCTTCTTTGGACTGTTCACAGTGTAAACATATCAATCCAACTCCTCATTACAATACCATAGCCTTTCTGATTCATTTCCTTGACCAACTTAAAATTTGTTGATACAATCTTCTGGCCCCCAAAAGAACAATCCTTGCATTGTAATTGTTCTCCTTGTGTGTAAAAGATAGTCATTCGGCAACCCAACAAAAGAAATTCAAAGCTTTTATGGGAGCAGCACCAAAATACTCACTACCATTTCGTCACATAAAGAAATGTCAAATGAACCCAACTTTTTACTTGTTTCTTGAGTCCAATCACATTCATTGACAATCCTAACAATTTGAAAGGATCACTATTAAATTTGGTAAGGATATCTAAAAAAGTTATCACATAGGTGTGATACTTGATTTTTTTAGAGATCTATATCAAATTTAATGATGATCTTTTTGGATCCTACACACATGGATGGGAGAATGTCCTATAAGATCATTTCTCTTTAAAAAATGAGTAATGATCCTATAGGACTCTCTCCCACGCATGTGTATAAAACCCCAAAAGATCATCATTAAAATTGATATGGATCTCTAAAAAAATAATCACATAGACGTGAGACTTGATTTTTTTAAAGATTTGTGTCAATTTTAATAGTGATACTTTGAAAGTCCTACACGCATTAGTGAAAAAAGATCCTATAGGATTATTTCTCTTAAAAATATATATATAAATATTTTTTTTAAAAAAAAGGGAAGGATTCAAAAGGATTTGGATTGAAATTTAAAAGTGATGGGGTAATATCCATGCTTATAAGTGCGGGAAGATCCTATAAATCATACCTCTTAAAATATTTGACATTCTTAAAAAATTTGACATTTTTTTTTACTCACGCCATAGTTCACCATAGTGAGAGGACCCTATAAAATCATTACTCTTAAAATATTGAACATTTTTTTTACTCTCACGCCATAATTTTTATTCGCCACGACTCTCATCATTCTCTCCCTCGCCATTTTTTTTACTCTCAGCCATAGTTTTTATCCGCTATTTCTCTCTCATCATTCTGGCCCTTGCCATTTTAGCTCTCTCACAATCTCGCTAAAAAATGCCGCTTTTTATGATCTTCCTACGACATAAAAGTACAATGTCCTCTTTATCCAACCGTCCATTTTTTAATAGAAGGCTAAGATTGCTTCAATCACAATGTCACGTCTCTACATTTTTTATTTTATTTTTTTGTAAACTATTTTGCCACCAAATTTTAGACGTCCATTCCTATATTAAACTCGCATTAATAAAAAATATATAAAAATATTTTCAAAAAAATTAAATAACTTAAATACCCTTAAAAGTTTCAAAAGATATTTTGGTCATTATTTTTATCAAAAAATTATTGTTAATATTTTTTATAGGTACATCCCAATGAGAAGATGGCACGTACCAAATTTCATATTAAAAAATATATATATTAAAAAACTAAAAATAAAATACTATCAATCGGATTCAAGATCAAACACTGATTGGCTCTCTTGAAGACGGCACATACCAAATTTCATATTAAAAAAAAATTCTATTAAAAAAACTAAAAATAAAATACTATGAGACGTCGGATGTCGGATCTAAAATCAAACGGTGAGTGGCTCTCTTGATAAAAAATAGAGAACTGGTAAAAGTACATAGAACTTCTAGATTGGAGGGAAAACATAGAATGCTTTCCCCTTCATCTATACTATTTCTCTCCAAAGACTATGTATTCCCCATATACATATCCATATCAAAAGTGAGTATACTTTCAAAGCATCTACATGCAAATCCAAACACTTCCCATACGGGAATGAGCCGGTAATCACAAAATAAAATATAGACATTTAAATTGCAAAAAATTTCTCATCATGCCACTATCTTTTTAGGGAAAAAAATGACTATAATATCCAGATCTATGAAAGAATGGCCTCATTTAACACAGTAACTTTGAAGGCACCTACAACAAGAATCCAAAAAATGCCCAATAACAAAACAAATGCTGTGACGAATCATTACTCTGCTTACAAATATTTTGTGCGGGTGTGCGAGAGAGAGAGAAAGGAGAGAGAGACTTAAGCCCTCTGGTCTCCACAAATAATTTCCTGTTAGGACTCTGGTAACAAAAATATTGAGAGAGTGTGTGTTTTCCTGAGTGTGTGCGTCTGAGTTAAGCCCGGTTTCCATATGGGTTTTCGAGGACCCGAACTGCAGGTCCATAAATACTCCGGCATCGCTCAGTGAATGAAGAGACGAGTCGAGAAACCACCTCACTAAAGAACATGGATGCCACCTGAAATGCAGTTCAAAAAATCCAATCACGAATAAACCTAGTCACAATCCATGCACACTGCTCATAATCTTCACTCTTCTTTTATCATTAGGATTTCTTTTTTCTTTTTTTTTATGTAGCTTTTTTGAACTTTTGACTTGCATAGGAATTAGAGCTGTGTATCCAAGATTAATGTTTCAGCCAATTGCACCTGCACCAGTATGGTGGCCTTCATCGGCTGTTTCAGACCACAAATGTTGTTGTCAACAATATCATAGGTGTCTATAACACATTGGCCCAAAAATATAATACAACGAGACAAGTCCTTCATTTTCATATTTAGCAATATAATGCCTTTTTTCAATACAAATAATAGCATTTTCATAATTTGAATGCAAACGAATGAATGCATGGCTAGATGGTAGAACACATGATTTCATCCAAAAGTAAATAGAAGTAATAGCATTTTCATAATTTAAATAGAAATGATTGAATTCATGGCTAGATGGTAGAACAAATGAACTCATCAAAACATAATAGGTTCAAACGTGACAATACATTATTTTATTTCATGGACTCTTCCCTCACCTCTCTCTCTCTCTCTGTTCAGAAACTCAGAAAGTAGACTGAAATACTGAATATCAGATAGGGAAGCAGAAAACAGTCATACCTGTCGATAAAGTGGCGAACTGAACTTGAAATCAACCAAGAAATAAATGTCACAACTTCCAGGGACAGGTCCGGGATTGAACTCCCATATATTTATCAAATGATCAAAAATACCACTTTGTGATGCAGTTGTCTGCAAGTAGCACACAAGTTCTGTTAAACAGGTCAACTGGAAATCGTATGTGCATGATTTTAGAAACCATACATCAAAAGAAGAATGTCAAAATCATCACAAAAGATCTCTCTCTCTCTCTCTCTCTCTCTCTCTCTCTCTCACACACACACATACAGAATAGTTGAAGGCCAGAGCCCAGACAAGCAGAAAGAACACACACTATTGACAAACAACAGTTGTGTAATATAGAATGGAAAACATAACATGTAAAACTGAGTACTTGAAATTTACTTGTCAATAAAGAAAACACTCAAGTCCCTGATTGTCACAAAAAGCACAACATCGAATACCAGGAACTCAGTAAAAGCCCAAAGTGCAAACTCAAAAAATCCAAAAAACTGCAAAAGACATTCAGATAGAATATGCTCATAGGTATGAGAATAGAACGTGACCTTTATTAAATGAGGCTTCTTTAGCTCTACATGAGAGATGTAGTTCTCAACGAGGAACTTAAAACCAACCTGCAACTCTGCATCAAATGACCCATCACTATTTTGACGAATAATCCTTGAACGCTGACACCATGGGACAAAATCTTCATACATGTCAACAGCTGCAACAACCGAGTATAGCTGTTCTGGGGAATACCTGATTATAGCAATTTAAGTTAGCATATTCACAAGCATAGCACCAAAATAGTCCACCTAAAAGACAGTGCAACTGTTATTATGGCACCCAAATCCAGTCGAATATATAAACAAGTCATGGTATAAGGTAGACCACAGGAGCATCATCCAAATAATCCACACTAAAATATAGTACAATTGTTATTATGCAGTATGGACTTGGCAACTCACATTCAGTCAAATATATAAATAAGCTGCGGTATAAGGTACACTGCATCCACTACGTGCCATGGATGACAGATGATGGAAATTAGCTGCAGCTTATGATGAGGAGCATTCACATGGTTAGGGTTAACAGAATGCCCCCATGCTGCACCATATACCATACACCACTGGGGTATGGTTTGCTATCCAATAAATGAAAACGATATGTGGAAAATTTACAAACCAATTTTAGTTTGAAAAATGAGCAGAAACTCCCTTTCAAGAGAATGAAATATTATAACATCCCCGCCCCCCCCTTCTGGAAACCTGAATACAATGAGAAACTCAGTGTTTCAAAAAGCTCTAGGCAGCTCCTAAGTGGTCGGGGGGGTCCACGCCGCCCAGCGCCTAAGCGGGCGCCTAGGCCTGCACCCAGAACCTGGGTGGCCCAATAGAATTTTTTTTTTTGGGCTTTCTCGCCTCTAATGGGTTTTAGGTTTCAAATGAACCTAAAAACCACAATTTTGCCTCTTTAGTATTAAAAAAATGACCCAAAAATACCCTCAAAGAGACGCAGGTCTGCCCCTGTGTGGGGCGCAGGCCCTGGGCGGCCACCTAGGCGGGTTCAGGTGGGCACCCAAAGAAATCCGACTAGGAGGCCGCTCAGGTACTGGGCGGTCCGCTTTTTGAAACAATGGAGAAACTACTAAAGAACTTTTAAATTGGAGGACTCTCGAGCAAACACAATGAAATGTGGACCCCAAACAAAAGAATAAAGAGCATATCCCTGGTTCTTTATGTGAAGTTCTCATAATACTAAATGAAACCATTAGTTTAACTATAGAAGAAAAGCAAAAAGCAGAAATCCAAATGAAACAGCACAGAAGAAGAGAAAACCCAGCCCGTGTACAACAAGCACAGTAGAAGAAATAAAGTGCTCAGATGAAAGAATCACACTTACGACAACAGACAAGAAGAATCAGCAATTTTACTTAAATGACTTCATGCAATAGAAATGCATGTTGAATCATAAAGCTTCTGTGACCATGCCCTCTATATTCTTATTTATTCGTTTAAAAATATTACCTATAAATGATTCTGAGGAAAGAGGATTGGGAAATGAACCCTCATCAAAATTGCTACCATTCATGTTCAAAAAATTTGTAGGCCAAATTACATAGTTTAGCATGACCTTATTGTACTCCTCCATTAATACTAGGAATAACTACATGACTAAAATCAAATCACAAATGCAAGCACAGGCTTACATGCACACAATTCACATATCTCATATGAAGTATAGATTGGACCCCCTATCACAGATTGGAATTGATATAAATGCTCAATTCATGTAAAGCTTTTTTGATACACCCTTGGTTTTGTACAGGGCACCCATTTGTGGGTTGCTTATTGTTTGGGCGGAACCTGTCTGTGGGTATCCTGACCCCTCTCCTCTCACATTATGTACTCACTTTCTGTTCCATACAGTCAACATATTAAAAAAAAACATAGAACAGCAATTATCAAATAACTCCTAAAAAATGAGAAGAACAAGAACATTTTTTTGTCATAGATAACAAAAAGACAAACATTTCACATACCCAAGCACTCGCCTCTCCTCGTAGTTCTTCGAAAGAACATTACCCTCTTCACCATCCCCACAACCAAGAAAGGACCTTCTTTGTTGAGCAGTGTGATATAACGTTCTAGTATCTTCTCTAAAACTATAAACGGTCTCTTTATTGGTGTTCGCCAACTTGCTCTCTTTATTAGTGTTTATCAACTTGTCAGCAAAGCTGACCAACACTCGAACTCCACCCAATCTCCTCTGACTCTCAATATCCCTGAGTAACACTTTAGAATCATTTCCTACACTTGCACACTGTCGAGTCAATGATACAAACCTCTGAACAGCTCGCCGAGCGAAAGAAATGGGAGCCATTCTAAACAATACCCAAAACCTTGCTGCCCCTTCAATTTTAAAATCCAAAACAGAAACCACCCCCCCAAATGTGTCTTTTATGTATACCACTCACTCAAAATTTCAACAACTGAATTTCAGCCCCGAACATCGGCAAAATAACTAATCGAAATTCTGAGAACTACAAGAAACACCAAATGCTCAGTGCATCTAACCCCAAAAATATGTCTATTCAAACAAGAAGGTGATAGACCGAGTTCAAAACTTAACCATTTACTCAACCAAACTTCAAATCTTAAAGTTAATCCTTGGGAATGTGAGATTACAACCACTAACTATTTTGCCCAATTCGAACGAAATTTCTGCCTCAATCCTCAAATGAATGACAATCTTGCAAGATGAATTTTTTCTTCAGGTTGTACCAATGCTAAGAGTCTGCAAGATCAAATCATTCAACTTGAACAAATGTTACTCCCTCAAGATACAAGTAAATGAACATCCTGAAAGCTTCATTCAGAAAAGAACTTCTTCAGGTGACACCAAAGCAAATATTCAGCAACATTCGATACATCGAATCTTTCGAACTTTCAATCTGAACTACTTATGAATGCCACTGAAACTGCAAGCACACATAAACACGATTTCCTTCAAAGACATGAAGAAATTGGATTAGAATAACAAACGGAATAGTTCTTCAATAAAATATATCACCAAAAAAAAAAAGTACAACGGGTGTTCAAAACCAAGTATTGAACATTACATAAATTGCTAAGTATGTGTACGCAACCTTTGGACCAAATTACACAGCTAAGAGGAGACCACAAGAATCCAAATATTTTGGAAAACAATTCACTAAATTTATGCTCAAAAAGGGATGTGCACTTCAAACAAATCTGGGGTTTAACCATCCCATTTTTGATTAAACCAAACCACAACAACACAACAGATGGTAGAATTTCTATATGCAACACGATGCATACACCCCAATTCTGTAAATTCGGAAAAACCAACTCAAAAAGAAGAATAAGGTCGAACGAACATATATGAAAATTCAGATACTTCAGAGAAAGGAATGTAGGTTCATAAACTAAACCGAACTCTATAGATTCAGGTAAATTACATTAATTTTAGCTTATTAGGTAAGCTACATAAAATCGAACTCATTCAAAACTTCACGATGTTTGAGACACTGTTCTGGGTAGGACTGAAAGCACACTAGAATCCAAGGTATTTTTGGTGAGAAAGAGAAACATGACAAAACTGAATTCCAACCTCAAATTCAAAGGAAAAATGATAAACCAAACATGAACCCTAGGAGGTTCCTCAGAAATACAAATATGAAACCTAAATCTTCAATTTTGGTGCCAGATAATTCACGAAAAACATTTCAGGGGACACGTAGCCCCACTAGATACCTGCAGATGATAACCTATTCCCCAATGCTCCGGAAAAACTAAAAATAAACCCTAACCCTAAAATTCCACCAGAAGCTCCTCTCTGACAGACCCTAGGATTCAAATCTACCTCTTTGAATAGATAATCAACTATAGGTCAATTTCCGTGAACCCTAAATCAGAAAAATCCGCAGACCAAAAAAATAACACGAGGAAATTTATTTGAAAGCTAGTATCAGAGAAATTCTAGAGTTTGAACCTTCCGAACCCAATTGAAAATAAAAGAGGAACCTTGAAACAAGGAGAAATTCAGGGAAAAAACATAAAGCTGAAGAAGAAATTCAATCTAAAGCTAGCATCAGAGAAATCCTAGGAATAAGTCCTTCCGATTTCCAGTGAAAATAAAAGAGAAACAATGAAAATATGGTGCGATAAAAGCTCGAATGGAGAAAGATACCTGCGCATAAGGGTAAAGATCCGCCATTAAAGGAGCTCAGAAGACGGAGAGAGAGGCCCAGATAAAGGCCCCAGAGAAACAGGAAAAGGTCTTGGTGGTTGAAACCTTTTATTATAAAACAAAATTATACGTCCTTGTCTGACCATTTGAAAACGTTTTTTTTCACAAGGGTTCAACGGTCCAAATCCAACGATCAAAGGCTCATGTTCCCAATAAATAGGAATACGTTTGCCAATGGATCGAGACCCGACGTGGTTGGGAGTATAGGCCCAAATCGCTCTGGGTATGGGTATAAAAATTGGTGGGTCAAAACCGGGTCCGGTTTCAAATTTTAGATTCTAGCACTATTTGGATCCGGATCCGGGTCCGGTTGGGTCTAGGTTTAATAATATTTTTTTGAGCCCCAATAAATGAAAGGTCTTAGACAGTCCAATTAAGGGCACCTCCAAATTTTATCATAACATGTAATTTTGATGTAAAAAATTCTTAGGATCATTGGAAATCTATTTTTGTATCTAATTATAAAATTTTAAACTCCAAAAATAGTTACAATCAAGTAAATCCATAAATACAAAAAAATCTTGAAAATTGACGGTATAGATAATATATTGCAAGATGCGCTATTTTTGAGACTCAAAATCTTTTTTTTATATATATACATTCATACATCCTCGATGTTGAGATGATCAATTAGATGGTTTTTCAATATTAAAACAACCATTTTCTGATGGATTTTTTATATGCATCTTTAATTCTACATTTTAAGTTGCTTAAAACTCAACTTTGATAGAAGCTCTATTGGAAACCCAAGCCTAACAGGTTATGGTGGTACCATTAGATATCATATTGGTAATTACAAATTCATCTACTCGAGACCATGTGGACCTACAACAATGAATGAAGCTGATGCAAGAGCTCTTTTGGAGGGGTTAAAGATAATAAAGGGCTTCGAGGAACAAAAAATAATTAAAGGTGATTCAAATAATGTCATCGTTTAAGCAAAAGGTTAAATAAAACCACCTTGGAAATTATGCAGCATTTTTTATGAAATCTTTTTCATTTTAAGTAGTGGTTCTTTTGAGTTATCTCATTGTTTTAGGGAGGCTAATATCAAAGCTAATACTTTTGCAAAGGGTGATATGCACCAACATTCATTAATGGTCACATCATTTTCTTCTTGAACTTCCTTCTAATAGTTCATCGGTGAATGAAATTCATAGTAAATAATTTCAAAAAAAAGGTTGCAACTGTTTATAAATTTTTTCCATGAATGAAATATATAGTTAAATACATAGTTATTTTAATTGTTGGGTCTGATTTGGTCTAGGTCTGAGTCCCACACTATATTTTCAAGACCAAGTCAATCCATACCCAATCCGAACTATTGCCACCTTGACTAGGGTTGCTTAGTGTATCGACCATCGAAGGAATGAGATACATTCCAAAGTTTTTTGCTATTCGCTTTTGATTTTTGTTTTTTGTTTTTTTTTTACCTCTTTGGTAAAGTTTGTATAAGATTGCAACATGTAAAAGTAAGAATAAGTAATTTAAAGCCGTTGATTGTCTATAAAGAGACCATTTACCTTTTTTACAATGATGTCACAATTAGTCTCACTTATTAGATGGTCGAATTGAATGGCTTGGGGTGCATTAAGAAGTCCAATAATTTTTCTTGGAACTTTGTGTCATTTCAATGACACTCTTACAACCATCAATTTTAAAATTAAAAGGGCAATAATGGTTGTGACCTTCATGTACAAAAGATAGCTGGTCTCTTTATAAACCGTCTCTTATTTTATTTGGATTGTGTAGTATATGTATTATGTAAATATTATAACAATAAATATAGGGAAAAGTTTATGTAGAGCCAAGGATATAAATAATCAAATTAGGGCCTGCTTCAAACTTTTCGCTAGAAGAGCTTGTTTTGACACTTAAATATCTTCAAATTGAGTATCTCGATATTAAGATGGATGGACATGAGAAAAAAATAGATTTCAAGTTTTGAAAATCGTGTATTTTGTAACGCATTTTTTTACCGTTAATTTTTAAGATTTTCAAGTATTCATAGATCTGTTGATCTATATTATTTTTGAAGCTTTAAACTTTATAAATAGGAATAAAAATACATTTTAAGACCATCACAAAGATTTCCAGTATTGAAACCACGTTTCTCGACACTATTTGAAGATAAACTCTAATTTGATTGTTTAGAACCTAGACTATACAAACCTACTCACTATTTGAAGGTAGGCTCTAATTTGGTTGTTTAGAGCCTAGGCTCTACAAACAGAATCCCATAAATATATATGTTTAAAGAGAAATGATCCTATAGGATCCTCTCCCATCCATGTGTGTAGGACCCAAAGGATCACCATTAAATTTGTTACGGATCTATAGAAAAGTCAAGTCCCACACCCATGGGATAACTTTTTTAGAAATCTGTGTCAAATTTAATGGTGATCCTTTGGGGTCTTACACACATGGGTAGGAGAGGGTCCTATAATATCATTACTCATGTTTAAAATAAGTTAGAAAAGTTCAGGTCGGAGCCAAATTGGATCTACCTATCTAATCTCAGGTCCCTCGGTCCCAATTCGTACCTCTATTGTGTATCTAAGGAGTGTCCACATCATGTGGACGTTGTACCTTCCCATATTTCGTATAGG